CGTGCAGGTTAAGACTCCACGTGGAAAAGGCTTCTCCAGGTCTCAGGCATCAGTGGACTCGGAGAGCTACCCTGAGTCAAGGTGAGTTGGGTGAGGCATGACAGGGGTCTAACAGGATGACTCCCAAAGGTGTGCTAAGGGGTAAACAGTCTCCCTTCATCTCCTACAGCGTTTCCCAGCTCAGCGACTGCACCGTTACCTGGACACCGTCCTTGACACCTCCTTCTCAGCCTGCCTCGTCAACCAATACTCATGTCTTTTTTTAAAAAAAAACCTCTCACCCAAGGATGTTCCCATTGATTCTAGAGAGACAGGAAGGGGGTGGGGGGGAGAGACATCGATGTGAGAGAGAAACACTGGTTGACCAGGGTACGCGCCTAGGTATGTGCCCTGATCAGGAATCCAACCTGAGACCTTCCGGTACACAGGACGACGCTCCATCAACTGAGCCACACCAGCCAGGACCCTTTTACGCTTGCCCCTCCGAAATCTCTCAAACCCATCGACTTCTCCGCACTTCTACGGCAACTACCCGAGTGCACTATTTCTCGGCCGGATCCCTGCAATCTCCATCTGACCGATTCCCTGCACCCTCACCAATGTCTTCTCCAAACTCTTTCCACAGTGTTAGTGTTTTTAAATTCCTCATCCAAGGATATGTTTTTTTATTTTTTATCTTTTTGAGAGAGAGAGAGAGGAAGAGAGAGAAAAACATTGACCTGCGAGGGAAACAGCGATTGGGCTGTCCCCTGCCCCCGCATGCACCCAACTGGGGATCAAACCCGCAACTCAGGTATGTGCCCTGCCCGAGAATCGAACCTGCACCCTTTTGATTTATGGGGCGACTCTCCAACCAACTGAACCACCGCCAGGGCTCTGTGTGGTGTTCTATCCCAATGCTGTCCCACTTAAAATCTTCCACTGCCCAGTTCTGCGTTATCTGGTTTCACTTTTGCTGGCCCCTTCACGGTAGCCCTCCTCCGTGGGAGCCGGCATTCTGCTTCGGACGTTCCGTAGGTGGTACCTTACCTCTGCCTGGGAGGCTCAGAACCTGTCTCCTCTTCCACCTCGCTTTAAAATTCTTCAGAACTTCAGGGTAAAATGTCACTTGCTTAGGAAGGTCTCTTCTTTCTAAGACATTCTTTACTCTTCCTTTAAAGCATCTAGTTTTAATCATATATTCATTTTATGATTTATTGAGTCATTTTTAAAAAGATATGTCTCTCCATCAAACGAGCTCAGTGAAGCAGGTACAAGTCCTGTGTCGCTCACTGCTCTATCCCCAGGACCTAGCCTGTGCTTGTCCCACCACAGAACTTCAATAAATGTTTGTTGAATGAATCAACGAACAATGAACAATGAAGGAATCCTTTCTCCTTCCCACTCTCCTTACTTTATCACAGCTCTTTCCTCGTCTCTCTGAAGATATAGCAAGGCAGTAAGCAAAAAATAATAAAACACAGGACATATTATGAAAACATCTAATCTCTTTAAATACTTAAGAAATACAGTAAATAAATCCCTTAGATATTAAGTACATAAAATATTCAGCAAGTCTGCTGCCTCCCTCGGCCATTCCCTCCTTCTTTAGAAGTTCTGTCACTTCGATGCAAATGACTCCTAAATACATACGAAGTTGCAATCTAGCCCCTGAACCCACGGCCAGCACGCCAATCTGTGTCCTTGACTTAGAGAGCCAACTGCGCTTGAAGCTCTGAACGCCCAAACCAAATTCATCACCCTTCCTCAACAGGTCACCGCATTACGTTTCCCATGCTGTGACACCACCACGGCCATTACCAGCTCATCCACGCTTGAAACTCTGCGCTCGCTGTGAGCTGTCTTCCTAGAGCCCTGTCTGTCAGTCAGCGGCCTGTTCTAACGATTCCAGCTCGAGGGCCACGTGTCTTCCTTTCTACCTGCATTCCGTGCACGGGATCTGTGATGCTTGGTACAGAAATGCTGTCTCACCCCAGCCCCACCTGTGTGCTGCCCCCATTGGTCAAGCCTCCACACACCTCTGAACAGACCACTCTCCTTCTGAAAATCTTCGAAAGAATTATGATGCTACCGGCCAGTGTTTCTCAACATTTAACTCATATCCTCCATCTCTTCTATTAATGCGAAAATCTCCTATCCCTTCTGTGTTCAACAGGGATTATTTCTACTCCTTAAAGATAAGACTGTAAGATCCAATGATCTTCTTCAAACTCTACTGACGAGATTTCAAGCTTGCTATTAGATTATGGGCTCTCTGTGACCTGGTTAGGCACTCAGTAAATGTTTATTAAATAAACTATTAAACCCTGATATTTGGGGTCATCCAGGATAAAAACTCAGTCCGTTTCCCAGTTTTATATCCTGCTACTGTCTACTTGCATTTCGCCAGCCGCTTATTCCAGTGGTTTTCAAGGCCTGGTCCCAGCACCAGCAGCAGCAGATCCCTGGGAACTCGTCAGAAGCGCCCGCTCTCAGCCCTGGCTCCAGACCTACGGAATCAGATTCCAGGAACGGAGCCTGCCGGCTGCATTTTCAAGCTCCGAGTCAGTCGAGTGCAAGCTTAAGTCGGATAACCAGTGGAGTAGACAATGCACTCACATGTAAACATCATCCTTCTGACTTTGACTTCTTGCAATTCCTTCTGCCTGGAAACACCCCCGAACCCATTCTGGTGCCTGGCCACTGCTCAGTGGTTTGTTTTGTTTTACTGCACAGCTAAAACCTCTAAAATGCCCACCTGGCAGTCCTCATCGAACTGAACTGAAATGCCTCTTATGTGTACACACTAGTTCAGTTGGCATTAGAAATGCAAATTGGTCCTTAGTAATAATGTTGATACTCTAAAAGTATACACTGGTTAACACTGAGCATATTCTGGAAGTAAATCATATATCATCTACCTCTCGGCATTTGAAGCATATTACAAAGTTTTCCATTTTGAGAAGAATTAACTTTAATTTCAAAGTTAAAAGAGTTAGAAGCTTTGAATGTAATGATTTCCGTTTTCCAGAGCTGAATGTAGATATCTGTTCATGTTTATCTGGCCAGTTATTAAGTATTCAATCACACAATGGCTCCTGCAAGCCAGAGCGACATGGCTAACCTTGGAGGTCACGCAGGCAAGCAAAGACACGCCCTGAACAGGTGCACCCTCAGGTAGGAAGAAGACTGAAGCCAGGGAGAAACAGAAACTGGTCTTTCCAGGCTGAAGGAATTCATCCTGTTTTCAGAAAAAATGTAAACTCCCCCCACATGAAATGCAAGAAGTCACCAATTTGAAAATTAATAGAAATATAATTGACTAATGTCTGAAAGGGAAAAATCATCTATAATACCCTCCCTACACTGTACCCCCCAACACTGTGCGCGCGCGCACACACACACACAAATGTCCATGAGTAATGGTGGTAAAAATTATTTAAAATCTTTTAAGGAAATAAAATGCTACCTCCTCATAGACACGATTAGCAGCAGGTGACCCAAATCCATAGTCAAAGCATTTTGCAGGTGATTTTACATCACGCTGGACAATTTTCCATTTTTCAGAGAAGGAAATAGCCTAGATAGATCATATAACTTCCCCAAGGTCACAGATTTGAGCAGTGGCAAAGCCTCCACGATTATTCTTAGACTAGAGGTCCTCTCATAGCATCACTCTGACGTCCACATTGAATCAAGACCTGCTGACGACCACAGGAACCACGGAGGAAAGCGTTATGTAGTTAGGCGATGCCATTTGTTTCCATGAGATCCGTCCGATTAGTTACCAGGTGTATGGAACAGCCTCACCAGTTCTTCAGCATGTTGCTAACAAATGTGATAAAGTCTATGAGAAGCTCAGGACAAAAATACGGCTTCAGTGTTATGGACAGCTTACCATTTAGCTAGGGGGCGTGTAGAACTGAACAATGTAACAAGCAAATCTTAGAACACAAGATAGAAAGATGGCTCTTGCTGATATATCACCCCTAAGATGGGTTACATAAAAGATAAAGAAAAATCTCCAGGAAGCTTTACTGCTTCTGTTCTGCGACTCTCAAAACTCTTGCTGAAACAATGGATCTTTAATTCTATGGTTGACCGAACCCTTCTTCAAGTTCTGGTTTTGGTAACTCCCAGACACAGCATTTAACTTTACAATTCATTTTTAAAATATGAGTTAAATTCCATTTCAATAATGCAATATCCAAACTCCACTCCAGACTCCGGTTACTTTATGTTCTACCTATGAGATCATTTTTTAATTGTAGAGTTTTAGAGATTAGAAAAACTTTTGAGACCATGCAAACCAATACTATCGTTACGTAAAAGAAAGAGCTAAGATTTCTGACAGACACAATATTAACACAACAAAAAATTAGATAATCCTTGACTTAAGAGGTAGTACAAACGTTTTCTAAATATCCCATCAAAACTTGAACACGTTACTCTACATATCTGTCTTACTTGAAATATTGTTATACATTTTACTTTCAATATCTTTTAAACAGAATTAAAATAAAGCAAGATTTTGCTACTTAATTATTTTAAGGTTTCAAAATTTTTCCAAAAAAAAAAAAACACTGAATAATCTGGTAAGAAAATTTCAGTAATATAATTATGAAAAAAACGTTGCTATACACACAGAGAGTTTTCTCTAATAACCAAGCACACTCTCACTCACAACACAGAGTTTAAACTTTATCCCATAACAGAGTAGAAAATAACAGGTGAGAAAAGATAAAGTCTGTACACAGAGAATGACTAATTTAAAGATGTCAAAAAGATCAAACCTTTTAATATCCTAGGAATAAAGTCTTTAATATTGTCAATATTGTGGAAGAAACCAAAGCACAGAAAGGTACAAATTTTAAAGCAGGGGCAAAAAGACTAGTAGCAGCCTCCCTTATGCAGAGTTTTAGAGCTTAGGTAAAATGTGAAGAACTGTTGCTAAAGGAAAAAGAAATAACAGGAGTCATACACCTACTCACAACCACCTGTGCACATATGTATGAACATACCTATTGTTGTTCCAACAATTCCGACAGGTGACGCACTCCGCTGGGTCAGTCTGAGGTACTGCCGTGTACACGCCACCGCCCTGGTCAGGTAGGAGGTCAGGGGAGAAAAGAAAGAGGGTTGTCGGTGCCAGAGGCCACTAACCAAATCCTCACAAACAGCAAAGCCGTGCCAGTGATCAACGGATGTGTGCTGCACTGTACCCTATCCCCTCGGCAACGCTACGCTCATTGTTCTTTACCTACATTCACAAATGAGTTCTGCACCATGTTAGCACTGAACTCCAGAACCTGAACTGCCATGTTTCCCATGAGTTTTTGTACTGGAAGGAGGCAAATAAATGGAGAAGGTTAGTCACTTCCCTTCAGTGTTTCGAACCGAACAGGCCCAAAATGCACTATACATTTTACCCCCTATTCGTTCCTCCTTTTCCAGCAGTCATGGAAGGATTTCCTGTGATGCCAGTTGGAGAAACAGGGTGGAAACGTCTGAATGATGTCATAAGATAAACCCATCTTCATTTTCCTGTAATTATTCTGAGCAGGTCTGTTCACTCGACTACACTAAGGTTTAAAGCATGTTATATTTTTCCAGATGGAGCATATTCTCAGCCAGCAATGACTTAGAGGGGACTATTAATATTTTGATGTTGCTTTTGGCGGGAACTGCCCAGCAATTAAGAAAAATGCCCAGATTAACACATACCTCATTGTAAAATGCTCACTTGACATATACAATGGCAAGAGTTCTTGAAAACTGAAGTTAATAACTGAACCGGCCTATGTCAGAGTCACAATTCTGCTCTCAAAGGAAAATCAGCAGAAACCAAAGTGATAAAGGGAGAGGCTGTCGCGCTGCGCCCGGGCTCGGAGCGGGCCATCCAGGTTGGAAAAAGTTCAGACAATTGTTTTTCCCAGAATACTTTCCATTTCCATTCATCTCATACCAACAGCCAGAATCTAAGCAAACCAAAAATACTGAAAATCTCTCTCTACATTCTTGATCCAACTAGCAACAGGAATTTTTAAGAAAACATTGGGAGAAAGAATATTCCTAGGCTATATTTGGGCCATGAGGGTTAACTTTAAAAGCTTCAGAAAATCAAGTTAATAATCTACAGGGTAATATACTAATTTGAATCACTAACCATGTTAAAGTTAGTTAATGATTTTTATGATGGCCATCAGTTTTTAAATTTCCAGATTTCCCCCGACCCAGAAGAGCAGAATAAGAAACCAAATGAGTTAAAATCACAGGTGATAACCTCTAAAATTTTACACCTAAGGGGGTGACTATTTTTTAAATTGCAATTCACTGTTCAAAGACCCAAAGTCGTGTGTGCAAATGCGAAAGCACACTTCAGGCGTTTCCTTCTGGGGAAACAGCATGTGCTCTGCAGACTCCAATGCTCTCTCCTTCAGTTTCTTGGATGATGTTCATAGTCTGGACTAGGAATGGTGACAAAAAAAAGTTTAGGAAGTCTGAATATAAGCCACGTCTTTCCACACAAAATAATGAAATCATTATTCTCTTTTGGTCATGAGATTCAGCAAAGCCAATACAGCACTTTTCCTACAACATACCAAGGCTAGGTCACACGACAGCCATGAGATTGCTAGCCTTAAGGTACAAACAGAGATCATCGTTTTGTTCTCCAACCATTTAATAAATCTTTTTTAAAGTCAAAGGTAAAAGAACTAAACTTCAAATTTTAGGACACTATGGGTTATGGCAAATTTATCTGTAATCAGAACAATGACAAAAGCTTAAATCTGATCAACCAAAAACAATTTGGTTGAAAATCATGTGGCTGCCTGTCCACACCATGTAATAAGTCCAGCTTCCTGGTGCAGAGAACCTCAACCGAAATGAATCTGAAATATTATGCTACTATCCTCTTCCCATTTCAAAAATTAAACTGAATCAGCTAGTTATTCCTGAATTGAAGTGGTTTTAGAAGTTTTGCTTAAGAATATTAATACTGTAAAATGCAAAAATCTTACAGGCAACACCACCACACATCGGGCAAAACAAACAAAAGAAATCACAATGTGTTAGAAGTCAGTTTGGTGGCCTGCAGACACGTTCCATGTGGCCGATGCACTGATTTCAAAAACTGGGATGAGTTTCCAACATGTAAAAGATCTGGCAATTTCACCTATATTTACAGTGCTTCGAAAAGGCAGGAACTCTGGCCACGCTGCGTCCTGCGTGCCAACAGCAGGAGCAGAGTTACAGCTGCTCCTTTAAGACAGCGCATGTGCTCTCCTGTCCGCGCCAGCCCCAACCCTAACTTGCTTCACTCAGGGCCCTGATTGGCGGGCCTCCTCCAGTGACAGACTTCATTCTAACTAAATCAGATCGGAAGTATTCGGTCTAGTCTTCACCCGATGGTTTTTCCATTTCATCTCAAGAGTAACTACCAGACTATTTGCTCCATGTCCTACTTTCAGTGTTAAATCATTAAAAAATATAAACCAAATTGACGAATATATCTATTACCTGATAATAGAAAGCTTACAAAGATTATGCTGGATCAAGGGGTTGCCAGGGATACACTCTAATTCCATTCCAGTGAACCAGTGAGGTCCCCACATTGAAAAGTGCAGCCTGCCCACCCTGCTCATGCACCTTGGCACCACGGGGCATATGGATGGTTTCATTTATAACTGGGTCTCTTACATTCACTAGATGACGAGGATGTTCAAAATCCACCCGTGTCCTGGTTAGAGAGCTTGTGTGCCCAGAGTAAAGCCCTCCACTTAAGCTCCCATTCACAAGTCCATTGACTCCACTGGGGACCTTATGGTGAAGGTGGGAGCAGCCGTTGCTGAGACCTCCGTTGCTTATGAAGCTTCTGTGAACATTTCCATTTATCTGGTTCCTGCTGGGCAGAGTGGTGTATTCCACCATCTGCCCGTTAACATCTGAACCTTGGTAGAGATATCCTGGTGGGTCATACTCTGTTAAGAGAGAACAAAAGAGAAAAAAGAAGATAATCTTCTTGCTTAGAAGTTGTTAATAAAACCACTAAGAAACTACAAACACACTAAAATAGAACACTCTAAAAGCGTTCAGTGGAAGCCTACTCGTGAGCTTCGCTTTAATCACGTGATTGCTGTTCTCTCCTTTTCCGCGTGCAGGTATCTAGGAACTCTGAGTTAATCATGACTCTGTTAATAGAAGAGAAATGAACCAGAGAGCAATTATTCAAAAGAGAATAAACTGAAACTGTCAAAGTACTGGCAACACCAGGTGTTTAAACTGCCCTACACTTCAAAGTGCTGAAAGACATGGAGTAAAACAACACCAAAAGACTACTCACAGGCAGGACACTTCGAATAGCAGTACGTAACCCTCTCAGGGAAAAGGATGGAAACGTGTACACACTTACTGACTACTCAGACAGTTCCTTGGTTACTATGGCCACTTTGGAAGTTGTGGGGTAGTAAGAAAAGGAAAAAGGTCTAATCGTGTGTTTTAATACAGTGCCATCACTGACCACGGAGCGCTCCTGCTACCAGATGCATCTGGGGGTGCGGGTGCCCCCTGAGTAGTTCTGGTGCGTCAGGCACTGAAATCAGGCACTGAAGCAGGACTGTGTCACCTTAATTTGTGTCATTCGGGGAGAGTAACTGAGAAAAGTCCTCACTACCTTCCTTTCCATCCTGGCGTTTCTATTCCTCGTTGACGGATTTGTACAGTCTGAAGGTACTCCTGCAGCCACTGCGAAGCTCATGACTCAAGCGCTTGTCCTCTTTGGTGGTCTGACAAAGCCAGCGTCTCCCAGTGTGAAGTCAGCTGTTTGCTTAGAGACCGGCCTAGCTTGGGCTTGGCTGTTTATTTCCACAGGGCAATTTAATCGGATGCTCTACTTACTTTGGTTGACAGCTAAAACAGCTTTAAAGTCACCTCCTCTGAATGAAGATTAGCTAATGTGTTTTATGCCCTGACACTAATACACAGACCCGTCAGAAATCAATATTTATTCAGACAATATTTTTCTACCCATCTTTCTCGAGAACAGGAGAAAGGATTGGGAGCCTTACTCTGTGTGGTGTGCTGCTGGCGGCTCTTCCACAGGCACATGGCGATGAAGACCATGAGGATGAGGACCATGACCCCCAGCACACAGCCCACCACCAGGTACAACATGTCGCTGCTTCTGGCAGGGCTGGCTGCGGGCCCCACGCTGCCTCCGCCTCCTGAGGGGCTGGGAGGGGTGCTCAGGTCCTGGACAGGATACTCGGAAGCTCCGGGAACACGCTTCACTAGTTGAGACAGAAAGGAAAACATGATGTCAGGGTGAATGCAGACTCTATGAAATGGTTTACTCTCTGAAGGAGGTCTGGTTAGGAATGTTAGCCGGTCTGTTTACACTTGTTACTGAGATGATCTGACCACCAATGAGTCACAAAGAGGGCTCAAGAGTTTCAAAGTCTGGGGTGCCAGAGTTTTAGTCTGCAGATTCTAGAGACAACAGAACATCAGACAAGCACATGCACTGGTCTAACCCAGCTGCTGACTTCTGCTCAATTCGTACGTGTAGAAGACTCCCACGGAGTGGAAACATTATTTCCACGCTGAAATAAAAGTATTTCAACTTATGGATGGGACAAAAACTCCTTTCTATCTGCTATACTTTGAGCGACTCAGAATTATATATTTATGCCTCTACCACATGATTAATATTAGAAGATATGACTTTGGACTATAAGAACAATTATATACAATCCCTGAAAGCTCACACATAATAAGCATTCCAAGAGCTAGTACATTTGGAGTTCACATAGATGAAGTACTTCTACCTAGTTCATTGATATAATAGTGATAACAAAAGCTGACAACAGGTGGGACTCAAAGCCCATTCACTCTGTCCCCTCAACAATGCCACAGAAAAGCAGTGGGGCATGGTGGCTGACGTCTGGTCTCTGGAGCAGACCACCTATGTTTATATCGCGCTCCACCCCTTATCCTCAGCGTCTTACTTGAGCCTCCATGAACCAGCTTCTGCATGTGGAAACTGGGGACAGTAAGAACAGCGCCATCGCAAGGTTGTAATGAGGAATGAAATAGTTTACCCACATAAAGCACATAGAATAGGGCCTCGCATGGGGCGGTGTTCGATTTTATTATGATTACTACTTATGATACTATATTTCGTATAATGGCACCTAAAACCCATATGAGCAAAGTGATCTTTTTAAAAATCTACTTCCACATTGGAAGTTCACAAAACTGAAGTTCAATATTTTAGCAACTTTAACTGTACAGAAGAGAGCTGGGGAAAGGAGAGGCACCTTCAAAGGGAAGAGCTCTCATTGTTGAAAGCTAGATAAATACTTGGCAGGGACTCCAAAGGAAATTATGGTATGTTGGATTAAACAATTCTCAGGTCCCTGCCAATTCTAAAGAAAACAAACAAGTTTCTGAGGCAAAATGGATGTTACAGATTATACAGTAAAGATCATAATTACTCATAGGGACGTCTTTCAGGTTTATTCACTCTTTATTTATCCTTCACTGATTCATAATTCTACCAAGCTTGATGATCTGCTTGCCAACCTCTTGCTCAAGTTAAAAGCTTTTGTAGTGGCGGGTGAGTCAGACAGACCCATTAACATCAAGAAGAGACAGTTCAGAATGTGAAATAAGGAAGGTGACATGAAACACATAAAGATACTGGAACACAGGCACACACGCACACATGTGCACACACACAAATGGAGAGACCGAGAAGCAAAGATAAACCAGCCAGTCTGTGAGCTTTGTGGGTGGGGGCAGGGCAGGCCCCCTGCACCTGCCATTCCTGAAACCTTCCCCACTTACTGAAGAGGGGATGGTCAGCGTTCATAGCGACCTTGAGTCCTTTCTTCAAAGGTGAATTTGTATAGAATACGTTCTCCTTAAACAGGCTAGGAACTGTGTGATACATTTTAGAAAGCCATTCAACATGAACAGTTAACATTCTGAAGAAGTCTTTCAGCCTGGCGGGAGTGGCTCAGTTGGCTGAGCAAGGTCGCCAGTTCGATCCCTGGTCAGGGTACGTGCAGAAGGCAACCAGTCCATGTCTGTCTCTCTGTCTCTCTCTCTTCCTTTCTCTGAGCATGTCCTCAGGTGGTAAGAATTAAAAACAAAACAAAACAAAAAACTTCACTTCAAAGAGAAGTTTTATCATTTTGCACTAATCTGAAAGTCTGTAGGTAGGACCATTTATCCTCCAGCAAAGTCAATTAAAGAGGCATACTATTTCAGACACACCTATGCTATAACACAGTCATTACATTGCTGTCTGTGTTTTACATTTTGTGTGGCTAGATTCTCAAATTTCTTGGGGACAGCGATGACAAATTTCATTTTTATTTAATTTTCCCCTGAGTATCATAGCATTCTAGAGGCAAATAAGAAATGCCATTAACACATCAGAGTGTCTGGCACAAAAAAGCACTTAAATACGTGCTACCCGGGCCCTGGCTGCGGGGCTCAGTTGGTTGAGCGTCATCCCATGCACCTAGAGGTTCGACTCCCGGTTGGAGCACATGCCTGGGTTGCAGCCTTGGTCCCTAGTGGGGTGTGTGTGTAGGGGTCAGCCAATCGATGTATCTCTCTCTCATGGATGTTTTTCTCTTCTTTCTCTTTCTCTCTCCCCCTCTCCCTTCCTCTCGCTCTAGAATCAATGGAAACATTTTGAGAAAAAAGAAAATTTGCTAACCAAATAAAATTCAAGTTAAGTCTAAAAGTCTATGTATGTATATGTTTAAACATTGATTCAATATGTGGGTTTTGCAGCAGAAAGACACACGATTTAGAATTAGAAGATGGAACTAAGGCAATCTTTTTTGACTCTGTTTCCTCATTTCAATCAGGATAAAATCACATGTAGCAGACGCTAAAGACTACCCAGCCTGTTCAACAGCCTCCTTCTCCCATGCTGGCAGGCCCCCAATTCTGTTTCAATGTTTACTGAACCCCACAGAACTCTGAAGTAGATCCTGCTCCATCATCCATTCCAGGAAGGCTGGGGCATGTGACTGAGTTCTGGCCAGTGAGACAGGGCAGAGGACTCTGAGAAGTCTTCCCTGGCTCATAAAAATAGACACAAAGATGCCCAATGGGGTGGCTCAGTTGGTTGGGCATCGTCCTCTACACCAAAAAGGTTGTGGGTTCAATTCCCAGTCAGGGCACACACCTAGGTTGCAGGTTTGATCCCTGGTCGGGGTGCACAAGGGAGGCAACTAATTGATGTTTCTCCCCCTCCCTTCTTCTATCTCTAAAATAAATGGAGCCCTGGCCGGTTTGGCTCAGCAGTTAGAGCGTCGACCTGCAGTCCCGAGAGACCCGGGTTCAGTTCCCGCTAAGGGCGCGTACCTTGGTTGCAGTTTGTCCCCAGCCCTGGTTGGTCGTGTGGGTGGCAGCCACTCAATGTGTCCCTTTCACGTCGATGTTTCTCTCTCTCTCTCTGTTCCTCTCTCTCCCTCCCACTCTACCTGAACAAAAAAAATGAAAAAATGACCTCAGGTGAGGATAATAAAAAAAATAATAATAAAATAAAATAAATGGAAAATATCCTTGGGTAAGGATAAAAAATAAATAAACAAGGAAAATGTTTCTTTTTCCGTCAGATTGAGACTGAACACGCGTGCTCTCAACTTGTAAATATCCACATTAGCTGTTTCTATTATATCTTCTATTTTTAAGAAAGGGAGTATTTCAGTTCATCTATGTATGTAGGTATGTTGAGAATTTCAGTACAGTCCTGGCCGGTTTGGCTCAGTGGTTAGAGCATCAGCCTGCGGTCCCGAGAATTTCAGTATAGAATTAATGTAGAACTAGAGACTACCAATTCATTCTGAACTTAACTACTAAACTCAATGAGACAAGTCACGTTACACATGTGTCATTCCAGAAACCACTTCAAACACGTGTTGCAGTTCTCCTTAGAAGTCTTACACGTTTTGCTCAGCATTCTAATGCGCATGGCAATCAGAAATCAGTCAGCAAACGTTCCCGTTCTCCTGATGGGGAAACAGAGACAGGACCTGCCTCAGAGTGACAGGGCAATGCAGCAACGACACTGGTGCTCATGGAGATGACTCTGAGACGAGGGCTCCGGCCAACAGAGCACACTTTCCGTCTGGACGGTCTAACTGCAGGCACCTGACAGAGGTCCCAAGCAGAAGTCTCCGTAGGTAACCGTGTCCACAGTCGGAGGAATAACCCAGAGTTCGGGCGAGCAGCAGCCCCACCCCTCCTACCTTTCGTCTCACAGATCATCACGTTGCTGAACTCGCTCTCCCCGCCCTCGTTGAAGCACTGCATCTTAATGTCATAGGAGGTTTCCGGCTGCAGGCGCCCAATCACGTGCCACTGCTTGGACCCTGGAAGGGAAGATACACGATGAGCTTTACACAGCACACAATCTGAACGATGCTGTCATTATAATTACTTAATAATAACTTCACACGGAGGCTGGAGCAGCATCCATTACCACAAAGTTTGTGCAGTAAAAATGTACTTAATACGAGTGTTTCATTAATGCACCACAGATAAATTGCACTTCTATTACGTGGCATGATAAAAAGATAAACTGAATTAAAGATATACCTGTGTTGGTAGTAATGCTTTGTTTCATTACAAATAATTACTGGCGAGTCTTTGTGAAATACACGTTAACTTTATACACAGGTGAAAAACACCCTCGAGGCCTCTGAGCCTCCTTTTCAGCCCAGCAAGTCAATCCGCTCTGTCCTCCCACCAGAAAGCCATACTGTATGTGAGATTAAAAATGGTGCCTTTCCCGAACAAGTGACCATTTACAAGACAGGCCTCGGCCAACTCTAGTTCCATTGCAACGAACGTGACATGGACTGACAAGTCAACAGATGCCTGAGTCAATGGTTGAGAATAATCAAAAAGCAAAATCCACCATGGCTGCCGCTCCACTCTTTCTTTTCTTTCGGGTCAGGATCTCCAAACCACACAAGTATCTCTAACAGAATGATTCTGTTACCCGTGGCACACAGCCAACATTTCATTTAGAAACACTCCCCAACCCAACACTCCAGTGTAAACCACTCTCCATTCTTACTTCCATGGACCTGAGACCAACTTTAATAAACAGGACACGTCTGCCAAATTTAATTAACTCTTCAAGCACCTTTAATCCCTCTTAGAAAACACCTCTTCAAACTGTTTCCACTGTTTCTTAGGCACTCAACTCTACCACCAGCTGATTCTGGAATTAATTAAAGGAGGAGAAAATAACCCAAACCGTACACACAAGTCACATCTATTTGGCTGATAGGATGGACGGATAGCACCAGGTTCCTTTCTAATTCAACACCGACAGAAATATTTCAGTCTGAAAGCACAACCCCGTTCCCAGGTCACCCATACAAAAGCCCTCATTTATAAAGACCCATATTTATAAGATGAAGAACCTGTTTGTTTTAGGATCAAGGGGTCTGAAAGGCTCAGTAAATGAGGAGAGCTATGCCCTGTTCATAAACGTAAAGAGAACTTTAAAAGAAACTTGACTCAAAATCTGGTTGAGACTAGACCAGACCTATTTCTAAATTCCAAAATCTTTCTTTTATTTTTTTTAATCCTCACCCAAGGATATGTTTTACTGATTTTAGAGAGAGAGGAAGGGAGAGGAAGAGAGGGAGGGAGGGAAACACGGATCAGTTGCCTCCAGCACATGACCCAACCAGGGATGGAACCTGCCACCCAGGCATGTGTCCTGATGGGACATGGAACCGGCAACCTTTTGGCGCACAGGACAATGCTCCAAACCCACTTGAGCCACACTGGCCAGGGCAAAATTCCAAACTCTTTCTAAAAAACTTCTATTTTTTCCCTCTGCCCTTAGGTCTTTCCTAGCCCAGCCCTACACTCACCTAAGTATAAACATTCTCTTAAATATTTACTACACTAGATTTGAAGTTTTCCTTTTATAGCAGTAGCAAAAATGGAATGAAATGAAAGCTTCTGATATGTTACTAACAAGAGGAAACAGTTAAGATAATAGATTAATATCCCATTGTTATGGTAATTATTCCAATGGCTAAAATGACAGGAAACATGGGTGGAGAGGATGAGATTTTACTGAACACCCATGAGTAAGACACTAAGTCCATTATAAGGTTTAAAATCAACAGGCAGTTTTTTCCTGAAAGGAAACTAGAAGCACCAACTTAAAGATCAGACGCCTGATTACTCTGATTGATCTGGAACTCAACTTAACTTTGTAAGATAAAAATATCCAGCGAAAAACATCGGCAGGCTAGACACGTGTGCAGCTTATCTAGACGCAGGGCTCAGTGCAGAAACAGGATGACTTAACAGCGTTGTCCTCTTGCTGTATTCCTTAACAATGTGTGTCATCTTTTTTTCAAAAGCTTGAACGAGTTTGAGTCAAGATACATAGTAATCTAAAACCTTACTTTAAAAACAGCTTTACATACAGCGGATAAACACTTTTGTTCCTCGGTTCGGGAGTGCAGGCCAATAGTGTCTAACTGCCACAAAGGAATTTCGAACGCATAAACTTGAAAATAAGAAATAAGCAAATTACACAGCACAGTGCAGCCCACTTAAACATCGCGCTGCTCCGCCGGCTCCGCCTGTAAACAGTGCTCTGGGCCCGCGAGGCAGGACTCACCGCGGACTCTACCCCGGGTACAAAGTCGCCTGCAGAGTAACTGCCCAGTTCCACACTCAACACGCACATGGCACCGGTCTGTCAAAGTGCAGAGATTCAACCACAGAAGAGAGTTGAAAACTGTTTACCAGGGGCTACTTCTAGAGAGGAGAACTAGAAAGGGATAGGCAAGACAGTGAGAGAGACAGACAGACAGAGAGGGATGTTCATTTCATTTACATTTGCCTTGTTTAAAACTATTTTATAATAAATGTTTAACCTCTGTCAAAAGATTTTAAAAATAAAAATCTGACAGTCCACTCTCCTAACCCGCTAACTAAACTGATGACCTAGCTAGGACTAGAACGCGGAACAGTCACTAACAATTCTTTCCATTTCTTTTTAAAGGGCCTTTTTATGCAGTAAAACGTGCGGACTACTTATAACAAAAACTATATGCAATATTAGATGCCAAGAGGTCATATGAAAATAAGCTTGGCATAGGGCAATTTTCTGACACGGTCCATTAGGACATTAATATTTCAAAGAATCAGACTCTTGGAGTGAAAAAAGACCTTGAAAGAAGCCTCCCTCCCAAAGAAAGAATCCCTTCCAAGACATTACTGAGAGCACTTCCAAAACCAGGGAGTTTATTAGTTTACGAGACCACCTATGTTAGAAATGCTATGTTAGAGAATTCTCCTTTTATACAATTTCCTTTTAACTGGCCCTCCCTGAAATGACTGAGTTCCTTTTCCATATAACAGTCCTTAAACATCTGAAGACAGCAGTCATGTTGCTTACTAGTCATCTTTTTTCCACCCGATCATCCCAGGCATCCTGCTGTTCTTTTTGGACTCCATTAATTCATTCACTTCACCACTGTATGAACTGCGAACACAGCACTGGCAAAAGGCCCCTTACCCACAGGAAGTTAACATTTAGTAGAGGGACAAGCTTTAAGCAAATAATTTCATACACACATGTGCGCACACACATACACACACGCACGCACATCTATGATAAATTTCTATGAAATATGCATAAAGGGTTTAATTAGAAATTAAGTTGGAGGAGATTATCTGAGAAAGAAATATTTAAGCAGACAACAGAGAAAAATAGAGTACCTAGATAAAGCCTCGGGAGGGGAGCACAATAGGGAGCAGGAAGTGCATGTGCCAAGGTCCTGAGGCAAGCAAGATCTCGGTGCACACAGGAACTGAAAGGCCAGGGTGTGACAGCAGACACAATGAGAAAGAAGAGGTGCGTGAGACGTGGCCGAAGGTGCGGGCAGGGGCCAGCCAGACCACGTGGTGTCTTCGGGCCACGTGCAAAGCTCTGAATTACATTCTAAATGCAGTAGAAAGGCAGTTTCAACACACTTCGCCATCTTGGCTGGTTTTTCCTCTACATATGCTCAGCATCTCTCAAAGTGGGTAACATGCTGAAGAAGTGATCTTTCTAGTACAAACGTCAACGAAATTGTTGACTAAGACATTATTTTTAAAACACAGCTAGAAGCTGCAGTTTTTTATATACAGGTTACTATTTATTTAAACAAAACAGAAAACAATTATTTTCAGATGAATGACTGGCATATCATATCTCTCCCAAGCTTTTGTTTTGTTTGTTTGTTTCCCAATTTTTATTAATTTATTTTTGTTACAGATATTTCTCCTTTTTTCCCTCAGACACCTTTCTCCCATCCCGTCCCCACAACCCCCCAGCATTGTTGTCTATGTCCACTGGTCATACATACATGCACATAAGTTCTTTGGTTCATCTCATCCATCCCCCCTGGCCCCCTACCCTGAGGTTTGTCAGTCTGAACTATACTCCTTTGTATGTCTCTGGGTCTATTTCGTACATCAGCCCACCTTCCCCCATGCTTTTGTAACTGACAGTTTTACAATCAAAGTGTAAGCTAAAGTATATATTAAGTTGGAAAAATTCAAAATAATAGTACATATACCATTTCAATTTTTTACTCTATCTTAACCTGGGGCTATGTTTTTCATAATATCTATAAACCCTCTCCTTCCAAAACTCCTTTATTGGGACCCCAGCTTGTCAATGGATCTTACCTTCTACAATATCCCTCTTGTAATCACTGTCATTGTCGCTATCTGTTGGCCGGTAATAAATATAAAATCCTTGAATGGGAGTGTTATTGTTAATTGATGGAATGTACTAAAAAACAGAAGCAAAAACTTGTCAAACACAAAAATCAATTTAACTTTCAAATCCATTAAGATTTATTTATCTCGAATTATTTTGCAAATGTCTGTGATGGCCATTTTAAATTTAATTCAAAGGAATTTAAAGGTATTAAGAGCATTTAGCTTACTGCAGGGCCAACCAGAAATAAAGCAATATACTTCACAAGTTTCAAAGGCATGAAAGCGCATTTGATTCAAAATGAATAAATCCTAAAATGGCATTAAGTGAACACTTGGATGAGAGCTGAGGCAACAATAATTTCATTTTTATAACATGCGCTTTTAGACAAAAATCTGTGCCCTCCTATTTCCTCACTTAAAAGTTCAGAAATCTGCTGCTCACTGTCTCGTGTCACGAGAACATTAAACTGTTAACGTGGTCAAGCCAGAAAACCTTCTCTAGAGAAGGCGTGTTACTTACCGTCCACTTGAGCATGATCTGCGTGTCACTGACAGCTTCCGTGTGCACAATGTGAGGTCCAGCTACTGGACGGTTAGAATAACGATTGGGGAACCCAGCCACCTGATAAGGACGAGATGCCGAACTCCGAAAACTCTCGCCATAATGGTTGATAGCAATGACCCTAAATTTGTATGTTGAACCTTTTGAGGAGAGAAAAAAAACAACAGAATTTTTAGAAAGCTGTAAGACAACTGAAGCACAATACTCAAGATATGACAACTGTGCTGTAACAATAACATAGCCCAAGGCCTGTATGGTGAACAGATTTCAACCCACTTGCCAAATTCTATCAACTGGTAGTGGTTGCTCAGTGCACCGTGCTCACAATCCCAGGACCTAAGCATCACGAGATGAATGATGTCTGTCACGGAGGGGTGGGCAGGACACGGAAGAGCAACTGGCTCCTTGTATCACCCGGTTCTCAAGTCACACCATCAAATACACTAGTAGTGGGGGTCTACACAGCCCACATAAGGGGGTGCACCTGGAATGCCAGGCTTGAGTGACCAGGAAGGCTGCACCACTGGGCACTATAGGACACCTACTACATAAGGCCACCCTACCAAGACTGGGAGAGATATAGATATATGTCTAATATATAGAAACAAACAGAGAGGCAGCCAAAATGAGAAGAAAGAAAAACATGTCCCAAAAGAAAGAATAGGAGAAATCTCCATAAAAAGAGCTAAATGAAATGGAGGCAAGTAATCTAACAGATACAGAGTTCAAAACAATAGTTATAAGGAAGCTTGAGGAACTTAGTGAGAACTTCAACAGCATAAAGAAAGGACAAAGAAACCACAAAAAAGAACCAGTTAGAAATGAAGAATACACTAGAAGGAATCAAGATCAGAGTAGATGAAGCACAGGAATGAATCAGCAATTTGGAAGACAAGGTAACAGAAAACACCCAATCAGAGTAGCAATGGGACACAAGAATTTTTAAAATGAGAATAGTTTAAGGAATCTCTGGGATAACATAAAGCATAACAACATCTGCATTATAAGGGCACCAGAAGGGGGAGAGAGAGCAAGGTATTGAGAACCTATATAAAGAAATAATGACTAAAAACTCATAAGTGGTGCAGGAAAAAGACACACAAGTCCAGGAAGTACAGAGTTCCAAACAAGATGAACTCAAAGAGGCACATACTAAGACACATCTTAATTAAAATGCCAGAGGTTAAAGACAAAGACAGAATCTTAAAAGCAGCAAGAGAAAAGCAGTTAGTTACCTACAGTAGAGCTCCCAGAACACTCTTAGCTGATTTCTCAACAGAAACTTTGCAGGCCAGATGGGATTGGCATGAAATGTTCAAAGTGATGAAAATGAAGGACCTACAACTGAGATTATTCTACCAGCAAAGCTATCATTTAGAATGGAAGGATAGATAAAGAGTTTCCCAGACAAGAAAAAGCTAAAGGAGTTTATTACCACCACACCAGTATTACAAGAAATGTTGAAGGTTCATTTTCAGGAATAAAATAATAAAAATAAAAATATAAATAATAAAGTGGCAATAAATACATATTTATCAACAATTACTTTTAATCATCATCATTATTATGACTATTATTATTATTTAATTCTTACCCAAGGACATGTTTTTCATTGATTCTACAGAGAGAGGAAAGGAGAGGGATATATATAGAGAGATAGAAACATCGATGTGAGAAACATCAATTGGCTGCCTCCCATATGTGCCCCAAAAGGGATTGAACCCGCAACTTGGGTACGTGCCCTGATCGGAAATTGAACCCATGACACTTCAGTGCACGGGAGGATGATGCTCCAACCCACTGAGTCACACCAGCCAGGGCTCGACAATTACTTCTAATGAAAATGAATTAAATTATCCAATCAAAAGACCTATGGTGAATGAATGGGTAACAAAACAAGGCCCTTACATATATGCTATCTACAAGAGACTCACTTCAAATCAAGACACACACAGGCTAAAAATAAAGAGATGAAAAAATATTTCATGAAAATGGAAACAAAGAAAAACCAAGGTAGTAATACTTGTACCAGACAAAACAGACTTTAAAACAAAGGATACAGTTATATCAAAAGACAAAGAAGGACCTAGCGATTCCACTTCTGGATATTTATCCAAAGAAACCCAAAACACTAAATCAAAAAGACATATGTACCATATATCCATTGCAACATTATTTACAATAGCCAAGATATGGAAACAACTTAAGTGTCCATCAAGAGATGAATGGATATAGAAGTGGTACATTATCCAATGGAAGATGACTCAGACATAAAAAAGAATGAAATTTTGCCATCTGCAACTACATAGATGGACATGAGGATATTGTGCTGAGTTAAATAAATCAGACAGAAGAAGACAAACATGATTTCACTTATATGAATAACTTAAAAAACAAAATAAATGAACAAGAAGAATAGAAACAGACTCATTGATACAGAAAACATTTTGATGGTTGCCAGATGGGGCCTGGGTTGGGGGGATGGGTGAAAAGGTGACGGAATTGAGAAGTACAGATTGGCAGTCACAGAATAACCATGGGGATGTAAAGTACAGCATAAGAAATATAGTCAATAACATTGTCAGATGGGTACTAGATTTATTAGGATGATCACTTCGTAAATTACATAAATGTCTAATCCCTGGGGTGTAGACCTGAAATTAATATAATATTGTTTGTCAGCTACCGTTGAAAATAAAAAATTATTAAAATAAAAATCTGCCACCTTCTCCCAACCATACCTACATCATGTTCCCAGGTTCTCACATCTCCTGTTTAGACAAACACAGGTATTTGCTACTAAAGTACACTCAAAAGTCCATAAACAAAACTGGCCATAAAACCTAAACAGATAAAAGAGAATGTATTGTCTCTTTTATGGTTTAATTTTTTCATCTACAGGGGGCAGAGAGAGTTCCTCTGCTAAACAAAACTCACAGAGCAAAGTGTTAGGTGTTGTCTCATTTCCATAAGACTAAGCACTAGGAATAACTATGCTAAGATGAATCCCATCAACAGATCAAACAACTTTCCTCTTAAAATATTCATTTACGCCCTGGCTGGTTTGGCTCAGTGGTTGGAGCATTGGCCTGCAGACCAATGAGTCGCAGGTTCAATTCCAGTCAAGGTCATGTACTTCGGTTGCAGTTTGTCTCCAGCCCTGGTCAGGTCACGTGGGAGGCAACCAGTCGATGTGGCTCTATCACATCAATGTTTCTCTCTGTCTCTCTCTCTCCCTCTCTCCCACTCTATCTGATGATAAGTAGAAAAGTATCCTCAGGTGAGGAATAAAACAAACAAACAAAAAATATTCATCCACTCCCTGGCTGGTGTGGCTCAGTGGATAGAGTGTCAGCCCATGAACCAAAGGGTCATGGGTTCGATTTCCAGTCAAGGGCACATACCTGGGTTGCAGGTTCCATCCCCAGCCCAGTTGGGCATGCAGGAGACAACCAATCATTATGTCTCTCTCACATCTCTCTCTCTCTCTCTCCGTCCCTTCACTCTCTCTAAAAATCAATGGAAAAAAAAAAATATATCCCCAGGTGAGGACTAACAACAACAAATATATATATTTTTTCATTCATACCATATTACATACATACATGCAAAGATGTTACCACAACATTTTCTACTCATTTGCAATTAGATATAAAAAACTGGTTAAGTAAATTATGGTATACTTATATGGTAGATGCACAGTTATTAAAAGTTGAGTTTTTGAAGAATTTTTAATGACCCTGGAAGATGCATATGATATAATATGGGGAAAATGGAGTCATAAAACAATGTATATGGCATGGTCCCAATTTGTATTAAAAAAAGAAAAAAGGTCAGAAAGAGATATACCAAAATGTAAACAATGGCTATCTCTGGATAGGTGGGTTTCAGGGAACTTGCTCTCTTTATATTTTCTTTATTTTCAAGTTTTTATGCAATAAGCTTATATTACTTAAACAATTAAAACTATATGGTTATTAAAACTATGCATCTAAAGTCAGCAGTGATAGTAAAATTAAAAAAAAAAAAAGGAAATGTTTGAATATTACTACCTGGCTCTAAACTACGAACTTCCACAGAGAGTCTGGAAGGAGGGATGTCTTCAGCTGCCACCAGCCAATCACTACTCCTCATCCGTTTATACTCGACCTTGAAGGCAGTGATTGGAGAGCCCCCATTGGCCCGAGGGATCCAAGTGACGTAGACGGACGTCTCTGATGCAGTGGAGATGGTAGGCCGATCAGGGGCCTCTGGAACTACAAACAAACAGTCACTTCAATAACCCACCGTGTCAGAGACAAGAATAACTCCAATAAACTGAAAGGGATAAGTGCCAAATATCATTTAATTAAAGCTTCTTCAAACTTTGCCAGAGTTAATATATCTTCCTGTTAAAAGGCAATGAAATAGCCAAATACAGGAAATGAAAGGAAGGAAAGCAAAAATAGCCTACAAACTTGACAGTTGTCTCCGGAAAACTGAATGTTAGTGAGTATGATAATTGTGACCATGCTAATTTGGACTCGTGGATAAACAGTGTGTAAGTAATTATTACTGGGTGCTTCAAGCCTGACTGAATTTATTTATAGTAAATTTTCACAATTACGTATTATCTTATTTAAATGTTTTCTTTATCCGTCCAAGCTGCATAAAACACATTCAGCAATCGACAGATTATTCTATTAGCTGTTACTGTCCTATCTTAAGACACCTCAAGGCTACAGGACTGCTATTGTTCAACACAGACTGCAAAGCGAATACAGATCAAATTTGACTAATAAAATCAGCACTGATAATGATGGAAAGAGAGAATGCTGCTCAGGATGAAAGCAGGAAGACAGGCTATGTTGTCAAAGTGCTGCAGAAGAGCCCTGGGCGGTTTGGCTCAGCAGTTAGAGAATCAGCCCACAGACCGAAGGGTTGCAGGTTCGATCCCTGGCCCCATTTGGGGTCGTGCAGGAGGCAACCAATTGATGTGTCTCTCTCACAGTGATGTTTCTCTCTCCCCTCCTTCCCACTCTATCTAAAAATTAATGGAAAAATATCCTCAGGTGAGGATTAACACACACACACACACACACACACACACACACAAAGTATTACAGGAGAAATTAGTGGGCCAGATTTCCCCATTGTTCATGAGAGTGGGGTTCTTGGGGTACCACTGAAATAAACATTTTTCAGAAGCCCCAATGGGAGAATGAGATGTAGTTCCATTCCTGGGTTTTTTTTTTTGGTTGTTTTTTATCCTCACTCGAGGACACTTTTTGCATTTATCCTCAGATAGAGCGGGAGGGAGAGAGAAAGAAAGAGAGAGAGAAACATCGATGTGAGAGAGACACATCAACTGGTTGCCACCTGCACAACCTCACCTGGGGCTGGGGACAAACCACAACTGAGGTACGTGCCCTCAGCAGGAACCAAACCCGAGACTCTCTGGTTTGCAGGCCGATGCCCTAGCCGCTGAGCCAAACTGGCCAGGGCCATTCCCAGGGTTTTAAAATCTCATGTCCCTTAAGTCAAACTCCCTTAGTGTCCAGCCCTGGAAGGGGGCAGCTGTCAATTCAGTGGAGCTAGAAGCGGGGCCAGTGTCCAGGGTTTTTGTTCCATGAACTGGGTCCAACAGAATACTGGGCTGGACTCAGTCCTGCAAGCCAGGAGTCCAGCGTGGGCAGCAAGACAAAGAACCAAGAGCGGCAGAAAGTGAACTTCGTTTGTTCAGAAATTTAAATATTCAGGTTTCACACCCTTGCAGGGGCCATGCCTGCTCTGGCCACTGACTTGTTCCCAGGTATGACAGACAGGTAACCACCTTTCCATGTCACTTAGACTTGACTGGGCATGCGTCTAAACTGCCTTTGTCCAGTCCACTCCCCCCACCCCATCCATCTGTGGGGAAAAGGCCTGGCGTATTGAACTGCAGGTTTCTGGCAAAGCTGTATAAATGGCATGCCTGTATTATCTGGTCTTCCCTTTATTCTTTTCCTGTTAAATATAGCCAGGTTATTAAAATGGTATCAAAAGAAAAGCGCTATGAGAAAGTAGATGATCCACATGAACATGCAGAAAAAGGGGGTCAGAGTGCTAATGTCTAGTAGTTTTCAGTTTGAACTGCCAAGGAAGAGGGGATGTCCTAACCCTCAGATTAGACAGTCTAGATTCTGTGGCAGGTGGAAACGTCAGCCATTTAAACCAGGTACCTAACCCTTCTTGTTGACCAAGCAATTGGGTGGTCCTGAATGGCTCCGCACTTCATTCCTACAAGGACAAGATGCGGACAGAAACCGCTGGTCTGAAGGACAGTTACATCACAAGTTAGTATACTGCCACTCAGCTGTGAATTCTGTAAAAGTGACCTAGTTTTCAAGAGACTGGCTTTCTTTCATCAAGTTTCTGGAGCTGGAACAAGAAGGACCCACTCTGGGCATGGTCACATTACTTAGATGAAGTCACCAGAGGAGCCCTGTCTGTCTAGCCTGTGCCACACTCCTCAAGCAACACCCTCTGTCTCAACACCTCTTCAAGCCAGATACTAATACTGCTGCACAGGGTACTTGTGTGGAGACAACTGTGGCATTTTAAAAGCAAACTGCTTAATAGATGAGAATAGAAATATATTCAAAGCAGGCAACTTTGAGTGATACTTACTGTATTCCTTTCAAGTTAGAAAGCAATGGAAACAGAATGAATAAAACTGTTAGTGAATCTCTTTTTAAATACTACATAACCAAACAACTTCCTTATGTTGATTCATACGAGGTTAAAACGCATCAGAGGACGGCACAGTGTGAACAGAAAAAGAAAGTTATTAGGGAAAAAAGTCTCACAGAGAAGAGTGTCTTCAATATCTAAAAGAAACAGCATGTGACAGTTAAAGGACAAAAGAAAGAACACTGCATTGGAGCTAAACATTCCGACTTCGAGTAGCAGTTCTTCCGGATGATCTCAGGCTGCGGAACTGCTTGAGTCTGTTTCCTGTTTTGTAAAACAGATTTGCTACCTTCTCCATAGGGTTGTTGTGACAATTAAATAAATCACTTCTTCTGATGATGTCTGCTTGGATAACTCCAAACTCATGATTTCCAAAACCAAACCCATAATCTGCACCTGAACATTCTTACTGCCTCTGTTGATAAATGGGCCCTAGTTGCCCAAGCCCAAGTCACCGTGTTTCTCCTTCTCATTCAGCGTAGATTCAGTCGCCTTAATCTGCCATGTGTGTTCTCCTTCTCCATTCTCACCATCACTATCCTCGTTATTTCTCTAGCCTCATCTTTTGCCATGCCTGCCTTCCTCTTTAAAATCCTTGAGTTCTTTATAGCTTTCAGGGAAAGATGGCATTTTTAAGTACATTATCCAAGGCACCCACCTGCTTCCTTCCCTTCCCCTCTCCCATCATTCTCAAAGCAACCAGTCATACTAATAAAATCTCTAACCTCTAAATCTCTAAATGAATACAGAACACGTCAATCAGATGTGTCTTTGCACAAAGAGCTGCCTTGGCCTTGAACCTCTTTTTCTGTCTCTTCGTCCAGCTACGGCGCTGTCTGTGAGGCTGAGCCCAGGGAGACTCTCTTTCCACCGCTGGGCCTCCTCTCTATCAGACGGGTGATTCGCTATTTCTCTGTACTCTCACAGTACCAGGTGTAGAATCTCGGACACAGTGAATCAGAATCATCGTTATGAGTTAACTAGTCCCTACTACCCACTACATTGTTATTGGTTTAGTTGTCTGTATCATCTTGCAAAATTTATTTTATCTCTGAAGCTCCAGCATTTAGTAGAGTGTCTACCACTGTAGCTGCAGAATTGATAACTGTAAAATTTAAATATGAAAACGATGCCTTTTGAAGATTTTGCTGCTATAATATCTAAAAACTGTAAGATTGACAAGAGACAGCAATGAAACTGAGTGTGACTTGTAATCATTTAAGTTTAAAAAACCTAAATCTTACTATAGGTACCACCGTATATTTTGATTAATCATCAACAAAAAAGACAGACTTTTAGAGTTCAAAATATAAATCTGGTTTCCTTGCCAACTCCCTTTCATGAGTTATAAAAACTTAGTACCAGATGTTTTGAATCTCAGTGTATTATCTTAAACACCAATCATGACACTGGGTCACCAAGATTTGATACTACAGGACATTCAAGAAAATGGTCGAAAGAGGACCTAGAAGAGTACATGGTACGATGTAACCTGAATAATAAACAAACACCCTGCCCCACTCTGCACCCCAAAGAATCTGAAAGGAGTCAGTTACATTTATACACAAACAAAATAATTAACATGAAGACTCTTCTCTTTACCTCCGCTGTGCCTGGAGGGGTCGGTCAGAACCACCCCAAAGTGGTCTGCAGCCTCTGAAACCGCGGGGCGCTTAGGAACTCCCGCCGGAGGGGAGGATGCCTGGGTGTTTTTCGATGAGGTTGTTTTCTCTAGAAAGGTTAAAAAACATATACGGTAACATAAGCTTCTGTGTATACCCAAAGTAAGAAAAGATACCATGAAATTCAGCTGGCACACAGATGTAAATATCTGAGCTTCTCTGTTACAGTATCTAAATTTAAGACCTACGTTGTAAATACTTAGCTACTCTGAAGCGTTGACTTTAAAAACTACTTAATTCTTTCTAATACCTTAAAGGGAAACTAAAATGTGTCTTTCTTCACAGGCTGACTTTAATTTACACGTAGAAAAAAAACCACACATGAAAAAGTCAAATAACCAGGGTGAAGGTTTTCAAATTATTTGTCCAATTTTTCTTTTTACTGTACATATTTCTTAATTCTAAAACAAAAAATTCATTATTAAAGAGCTTCTGTTAAGTTTCTTCACAGGAAAATTGTCATGTTAAGTTTTAAAATTTCAAGAGGCAAAAAGTGAAATTGGATGATTATTTAAAACTAAAATACATGCTTATTATTCAGTATTTATAGGTCAAACTCTATAAAAAAACCTAAGGACTAATTATAAAAATTAACTCAAAATACATTTCAAATGAGAAATACTCATTATTTTTCTGGCCAGTCTCAGTAATTACATGAAAGGGTCTTTTTCAAAAGTCAATTAATCATTTCTTCTCAATCATCATACTTCCTTTTATTATTGTGCCATAATAAAACACTCTCCCACCCAACCCCCATCTCCACTCCTTGAGGTCTTCTTGATAATCTATGGCCAAGCTATGATGGCACTGTTTCTATCAAGCCTACTCTCACAGGCTATCCACAGAAAGAATATCCTTTCTCTGTACACTTCTGGCATTTTCTCTGTAAGCCTTTCCTAGTACTTATCATAGTCTGGCCTCTACCTATACCCTTGCCCTACTCCTTACCCTACAGTCAGAAATGTCCCTTGAAACATGCAGCAGATGGCATCACAACTCTGCTCAAATTCCTGCAATGCTTCCAGCTCACTCAAAGTCAATGTCGACAAGGTGTTGTGTGATTTGGCCACTCTGTCACCTCCCTGAGTGTTCTCGCTTACTCTGCTTCCATCACAGAGGCTCCCTCAATGTTCCAAGGATACACCAAGCACACCCACCCCAGGGCCTTTGCACTTGCTATTCTCACTACTGAGATGTTCTTTTCCCAATAGCCACATGGCTTTCTATTTTGCTTCCTTAATGTTCTGTTCTGCTGTCGACTGTTTACTGAAGAATTCTCTGGCCACCTCCCTAAACTATGACAACTGCTACCCCATACACTTCCTACATCTGTCCCCGAATTTATTTTTCTTGTTAACATTCACCACCTTCTAATATACTTATAACTTGGGTCTAAGTCTCTCCAACTAGAATGTAAGCTCCATGAGAATAAGGGGTTTTGCCTGCTTTGTTACCAGGCACACAGGAGGCATTCAGTAAATATTAGCTGAACTGAAATTGTGCCTGATAGTTGATGTTTCAGCATATATCTTACCTTCTTAGCAAAGTAAAAGCTCCACTAGGATGTCTTGATCACCTCTGTTCTCCCTGCATCACCTCCCCTAAGGCCTTACATATCTCTCAGAAATATTTGTGGACTATGGGGTGGAACGGAATAATATAACCATCCAATGTGGCCCCAAAGGGTACCATTGTGGGCTTAGTTAATGAATTTATACATAAGAATCTCTATTACCCAAAAAGATACTTATAATAAAGTGACATCACCCAGTTCATTCCTCTTTGGAAGACGGACTCACCTTTGCTCGTCCGGAAGGTCAGCATGGCAGGCTGGCCTTCCCCTGCCGCGCTCCTGGCCACCATCAGGACTTCGTAGAGACTAGACGGCTCCAGCTCCGACAGGTGCAGCTCGTTCTCGCTGCCTGGGACGCGGACTGTGTGCCAGCTTCCCACCACGCCCACACCATCGTCCAGCTGCTCGAGAGGAGACGGAGGTGAGCGGCAGAAACAGCTTCCATTCAAATCTGATACAAACTAGAAGTTATTCCGTTCAGGGTGAATTTGGGGAAGTGATGTACCGTTTTAAATAAAAGACACCCTACTTCTTCATCTTGAGAGATTTAAGGACTATTAGGAGACTTGCAGCGGGAACTTGGGGATTCTCACTGCAGACTCCTGGCTCTGCCGCTTCCCACTGACTGTGGCCTCAGGCAAGTCCCTTCATCTCCTGAGTTTGTTCCCTTCACTTGTAATGGAAACATACTCTTTTCTTACTGGGTTAACTGGAGAATAAAATAAGTATCTAATAATGTGTATTAACGATAATGCATACTATACATAATATGATAAATTAGAATATATATATTTGTGTATATATGGATTATATAATTATGTCTTATCTATTTCTAGCATTCTTGCTTCAGTATGTGTTGGACGAAATGAATTTAAAAGAGATCCAATCCATTGCATCTTCATTAATGGAACCAATAGACAACATTATACAAAAGTTTCCATGTGGATAAGAGGATCAGTGAAACTCCCCTCATCTAGAATCATCAGGTTAGAAACAGTAAATAAACATTCAAATCTCATGATGTTAATTTTTCCAGATATTAAAACTATCTTATGGCTACCAAATGTCTTGAACAAAGAAAATGATTTTTAAACATGAGCGCATCCCTTTCCATTTCACTCATCTGCTAGTCTCATTAAACAGAGGGGCTTTTTTTCATTTAGCTTTAATACAAGCCCCTGGATGGAAAACATCAGCAAAATCAACGGAGGATCAAAGTTTACCATAATAAATAACCAAACAACATAAAATTCTAATACAATTAAGAAGACGACTCGAAATGCAAACAGTTGTCAGAGATTATGCGAGAGGACTTTGTTCAAGAAGTTGCTTTCAATAAGAAAATGCTGTATTTGGTGAATAAACTGTATACTACTATGTTAGAGAAAGGGGAATGACTTTTTTAAAAGTGATTTATAGCATTTCATACTCAAGGGGTTACAATGTTTGGTAAAAAACGTTGAGAAGTTACTAGGTTCTTAGAATCTCAATTTGGGGGGAAATGTTTATACCTCATTCTTACTACTTTTATAAGCTGGTAAATCCAGCTGGGATGTTTCTCCTAAACTCCTTCTCCTAGAACATCTTGTTCTCCTTCCTGCCACTCCCCAAAAGTAAAAGAGAGTAAGTCTATGCTGTACACACAGTGTTCGGGTGTGAGAAAAGATGATACACGAGCAGACATTACCTTTCGATACTTCACAAAATAGGCATTGATGGGCAGCCCCCCATCCTTCCCCGCCCTCCAGACCAGGCTGTATGTATCCGGGGTGTGGGTCTGTGGGGGGCTCAGAATGATGGGGGCATCTGGGACTGAAGCACCACTGGCATTTTTCTCTGATGGCGATTCCACTGCACTGGAATGTTCCTTCGCTGGAAATGAGCTCACGAATCCAGTTTCCAAACCATCTCTCTCATCATTCCGAGTGGCATCGGCTGTGACTGTTCCTGCCTCTGTATTTGTTTCCAAAGGGGCTGCAGAGAAAGGGAGGCAGGGAGAGAGAGAAACAGGGGAGGCAGCTTGAAGAAACGCATTGTTTCAGTGTCTTCTATGCAGCGATCTAATGCCTGCCCTCACTGATACAGTTTGAGCCCTGGAAGTTAAAGCAAGTAACATTTCAATGTATAATTCATGGGAACATCTAACCATCCAACCTCCAGTAAGCTACCTCTTATTCATGAAGGAGCAAATTAATTGTTTGAAAGTTCAATGACACGATGCAGTATTTAGTGGTTTAAAGGATGCTATTTCTTCCGTGCTCTACACCAGCACCCCACTCTTTTCCAACAATCTGCTACCTTCACTTCAGAAGATTGTATGTAGAGAACATGGAGCTTTGACTCTAGTTGGTAAATGGAGCACGAGGAGCTGCATTCCTTGGGAGCAAGGAAATGGTAGGTGTTACGCTATGGTCTGCCAGGCAGCCAGCCTCCAAAGAGCCCGGCGGTCCCCTCCGGCGCTGGATGCGGCTGGCCCTGTGACCGGCGGTAACCAATGGGAGAGGAGTGAGACCGTGCGCCCCCAGGCAAACGCATTCAGGAGGCCTGGCCCTTTCAGTTTCGTGCTGCCACATACAGATGCCCACGCCAGCCCTGCGGAGGGACCACCACGTGGAGAGAGACAGAGAAAGAAGTTGGGGATGGTCCCGGCCCTCACGAAAGTGCCACGTATGTGCGTGAAGCCACTTTGAAGGTCCCAGCCCCAGTGCCATCTGATCCCAGCAGCTAAGAGACCCGAGGAAGGCCGGCAGAGCGCCCCGCTGCCTCCGGGTAACCCACAGAATTGTAGGAGCGAGTACGGGGCAGCTGTTCTGAGTCATGAATCTTTAGGCCAAATGACTAAAATACGCACTGTGCGCACAGAAAACAAACTACCTTCAAGAGGAGGGAAGATACGAAACAAACCGAGCAGAGAAAAAGGAATCTACTTATTTCCAAACAAGCCCGGTATCTGGACAAAACTGAAGGAGGTTTAAAATCACAGCCAATCTAAAGAAAGATAAAATCGCCCTGGCCAGTTTGGCTCAGCGGTTAGAGCGTGGGCCCATGAACCGGCGAGTCGTGGGTTCGATTCCGGTCAAGGGCACGTACCTCCGCTGCAGTTCCTCCTGGCCCTGGTCGGGTTGTGCGGGAAGCAACCAGTTGAGATGATAGAGACCTCAATTTTTCTCTCTCTTCCCCCTGCCCTCCCTCCCACTCTATCTAACGATAAATAGAAAAGTATCCTCAGGAATTAAAAATAAAGACAGCTAAAATGGCAGACAGCCTGACTGCTAGAGGCATGCAGCACACGGAGGAAGGTGGAAATAAGTCACGTGTGCCACAGTAGGCTGGGTGCGTCAAAAACGCAGAGCACGTGTTACACACCGATGTCGATAAACATAATCTCATTTAATTCTCAAAACAACATCCTTAGATAGTAATACTCCCACTTTACAGATGAAGAAATGAGGGTTCTGAGAGATTAACAGCTGGCTGAGGCATGTTAGTATATACCGCATGACAAAGTGAGAAGGCAATGTATGAAAACAAATATATTGCCAACACAATAAAACTTCAGGATTGACAGCCTGGGTTCTCTAAAGGGCTATTAATACTGTCCAAAAAAAAAGTCTCCTTTTTTTGACTACTTTTGTGGAGGAAGGGAGCACAGGAAACAACGTTAGAGTTTCTTTTCCACAATGAAGTCAGACTTCTGGGAACAGGAGGGTATGTTTTTAGGAGAACTACGGCAGTCTAGGAGCGGGACTAACAGTGTAAGGTCAGTTCTCTGTTTGTTTACAAGAGAGGAAAGGTGTCCCAGAAGCATCCTCTGTCAAAGAAAACAAGAAGCTAGTGAGAAAATAACAGAGAAGAAAACTAATTACGTTCACGGAGACTTCAAAATATTGCTCCTGGAACAGCGTGTTTACCCAGTGAGTCAGAACGTGGGCTGAGTCGGGGGTCTGTGCTGCTGATGCAGGGACGGGCTCAGCAGTGGAGGGCACTAGTGGTGGCTCAGGGCCGTGGAGGACCTTTTTATCAACAGTAGCTCCAAGGATCCTCTGGGCAGGTTACCACTGGGAAGCGGTATTTGGCTGTGGAAGAGTTTAAATACCATGTGCCTCAGTTTATACAGAGGCATGAGGAACACTAAGCTACAGCCTGTGTGTCAAGACTCGACTTCTGTTATTCCGGATGCAATGAGACTTTTCCATGACTGCTGTTATAAACAGGACTCCATTAATCTTCATTTACTATTCCCAATAACATCATTTGAGCACTCACAAGATTCTAGATACAATTTATATGGTCTTAACAGCACTTTCAAAATTTTTTCACATACATGATTTCCATTTATCTTCAAAACAACTCTGTGAAATAGTCAGAAGAGATATCTAGCATTTTGTAAGGTGGAATAATTTTTTGATTTGGAAAATAGATGGATAAAACTGGTTTTCTAAATACTGTAACTATGGCAGTGAATCTAAAGATTCTGAATTTACAGTAACTGAGCAGGGAATATAACCATATCGGTCAAAGTTGTCCCCACTGTGACCACTTACAGCAGCGACCCCCACCCAAAACTCTTTAGGAAGTCCAGGCCAACTCCTATTACAGTTTGGAAGAGGCACAACTCACTCTACAAATATTTGCACATCCAGGTCTCGGGGAAGAAAAGAACCAGGGGTGTGGGGGATAGTCCTCGCTCTCTCCTTGACCTTGCCTACTCCCCTGTTCACCATCGACAAAGGACAAGGCTGTCAGCGCACTGGGATTTAACAAGGCTCAGGTTCCATAGTGTTCTGAGCATTAATGAACTCAGCTGGGTGTTAATAATTATTACAGAGCATGTAAAAGAGGCAATGAGGGACCACTTAAGTAGGATGTAGGTGATGGAGTTACCATACATAAAAGTGGTATTTATCAAGACATAAAATCCTGAAGGGGGCCATCTCAAAGGTCTAAGAAGATCTCATCTAAACAAGGTAGTTTATGTACCTTCTAAGGGCTTCTGATCATATTTAAAGTGAGGCACTTAGAATAGCTGGTTTCATCAGCTATGTCTATGACCTCTACAGTTCGCTCTACCCTACATTTACAAAAAATAATCACTTCAGCTAAATGCTACCCAAGCAGCACCTGCATTGCACCTGTCTTACAGTTTTGTTTAGCAGAACAGATATGTGAACACACATGCATGCATATTCATATGTATGTATAAACGTATATAGCACTCAATACCTTCTTTAGTTAAGGATTTTTAAGGTTACCAAAATCAGTAACTATGTCTTTCTTCCTTAATCACCACATGGGCAATTATAATTTAATAATAAGTAGCTAGTAATAACCGTAACCTAATACTTAGTATTTATGAAGGATTTCTGTTGCTAGGCACCATTCTAAGCACTTCACACGTTATTGACTCCTTGATTTCTCACATCGAGCCTATGAGTGGCACGTCACTATACCTGTTATGCAGACCAGGAAACAAGCACAGACGAGTTCAGTGCCCCGGGGACAAAGCTCCTAAGTAGCAGAGCCAGAATTCTAACAGCCTGCATGCTGAAACCACATCAGGCCCACCTCCAGCACTCAGACAGTAAGCAGCACAAGAGTAGAAATGGAGTCCTGGCCTTCCCTTCTCTGTCTACCCTCAGCCTCATCAGAGCCAGGTCCTTTTGTGCATGCAAATGGAAAGACCAGTGCACACGTCCACCTCCGTCTACTTCACCACCAGTCATCTGCGAAGACCAGCGCCTGGCCACTCCTCTGGTTGGAGGGTACCTGCCTCCACTCTGGTGGACGGACCGGGGGAAAGACCTGTGTGGAATCAGACTGTAAACTAATTAAAACAGAGTATTCTGAAGCCCCAGGCCTGTTGTGCAGAAGGAGAAATATGAGCATCACTCTCCAGGTAAGCACAGCCCCTTGACCCCACGGACTCTGACCTGTGGGACCTGAGGACCAGGCAGAAGAGGGCCGCACGAAGCCCTGTAAAGCAGAGGCCCAGGGCAGGAACCTCAGCCGCCAAGACTAAGGACGGCACTACTCTATGATACTCCCACTCTCCTCGCACGGCAATCTCCACTCTGACTGCTTGCTGGGAATGATGCTCTGAGCACCTACTGCCGGGTAGCTCAGCTGGTTAGAGTGCTGTCCCAGCACACCAAGGTCGCGGGTTCCATCTCTGGTCAGGGCACATACAAGAAGTAGCCAATGGATGCAGAGGTGGGTGGAACAACAAATCGATGTCTCTCTCTCTCACTCTCCCCCTTCCTCTCTCTCTCTAAAATCAATAAATAAAAATTTAAATACCTACTGATGTAAAGTTTGAACTTGAATTTAGTCAAATTTGAATTAATTTAATAATACTGATATTCTATTACCAGTACTTCAAAAACCATATAATGATTATAAGTCATCATCACCAAAAAAAAATCGGTAAAATATACAGAGTTAATATTATACACCCCATTAGAAAAATAACTGAATACGATGGGGGAAATACACAGGCAGGTGTCGTCTGACAGTACCATGACTCTACTTTCTATCTGAAAGCCAACCCTTTAGACTTACATTCATTCAAAGCTTCGCAGGTGTACTTTAGACTGTGGATACTGTACTGATCAAGGGCTCACCTTAAAAATGTCTGCAATGACATTTTCAGTAGCTTAGAAAACCAAAAGCGTTAAACACAAGAAGAGGTCTGTGGGATTCCAGAATGAGTCTCTCCAAGATGTGTCTCTGGTATGCAGATTGCTTTGAGCTAAAGGCAACTTTAGCTGCAGGCTCTCAAGAGAAACTTCTGCCCCCACCTTAACTACTAGAAGACCTTGAATTAGAAGACTTGCCCATAGGAGATGACCAGAAAGAACTTCTGTCCTATCTACAGGGCAGGGCAAACCTCTGTTTACTCAAGGTCTGCTCTTATCGTCCCGCAATGACTTTTGGAAGCCCCAAGGCACCTTCCCACATCCCGAGCTCAGGGTGTCTTGTGTACTCATGTTCCCTTTCCATCTCAGAACCTCCCCAACATGTGGGGTCTCTGACTCTCTCATATGTGTGGGGTTCCCATACATATGCATGTTATTAAATTTGCTTATTTCCTCTTGCTAACCTGTCTCAGGTCTATTTGATTATTAAACCAGAAGAACCTTGAGGGTACAGGAAAATTTGCTTCTCCCCCATGGGTCATACCTTGGGCTTCCCAAACGAGAGCTTCTACATGACAATTACAAGCTCAGCAAACACATCAGAAATGGAGACCAAAGTTTGTTCAGTTCATGTTAAGACCAAATGCCAAAAACTACATTTCTACGTGTCACTGTCATTGAAAAAATATATATATCTTTAGGATTGCTGGATTCATTAAAATAATACTTAAAAGCACTTTATCCCCTAATATCAAAGAAAACTATTCACCTGGAAGAAATACTAAGAAATACTAAAAAAAGATACATAGCTGGCAACTCACCAACTGTGAGGACAGCTTCCGACCGCGCAGTGCCCTGCTCATTCGAAGCTTCGCAGGTATACTTCCCAGCATGCTCCTGAGTGATGGCCTGGATGTACAGAGAGCTGGAGCCAGCTCGGGACATGACAAAGTACACAGGCTCCAGGTCAACGCCCCCAGGTCTTAGGAAGTGTGACTTCCGGGACTTAGCTCTGAGGACTTGAGACGGATGGCTGGTTATCAATCCATGCCTGTCATACCAACGAATGACCGGAACTGGGACTCCAGTGGCATTACAGGACAAAGTAACAAAGTCTCCTTCTACTGCCTTTGTACTTGCTGGTGCTGTAATTATAACTGGCTTGAGTCCACTGTCTGTTAAAAAAGTCATTCACATACAAAAAAGTTAAGAACACTACAGTATCCACAATGCAAAACAATTTCATCCTATTGTGTAAATGTTCTCAATGTCGTGCACAGGTAGCAGTCAGAAACACTTTTTTATACACGTTTCTAAACAGTGTTTTACGCGCAAAACACAATCATTCACTGAAACAGCAGAGCAGTGTTCACAGTGCCACCCGAAAATAGTGATGTTATGATAATGATAGAACCAAGACGACTCCTTTCTTCCTAGTTCTCTTCTCAACTTGCACCAAGTAAAACTGTCCATAAAAAGTAGGACTGTTCATAGTTTCGAGCTCCCAGACCATCTCCTATATAGATCTCCCGTCCTTCAGAAAGAAAGGAATGCACACGATCTTTTGAGAGCTTTCCAATAGATATTCGATACAATCTGCCCACTATAAATACAGATCACATAAAGCCCGAACCTCAGACTTTAACATGAAAAAGGGGTCAAGTAGTAAAAAACCCGAAATATTCCTTCATGAAAAGTCAATTCCTGGGAAAGTAGGGGGTGGGTTGGGAAATCTGATTATAAAAAGCCTGTGAGCCCTGGCCAGGTGGCTCAACTGGTTAGAGCATCGTCCTGTATACCAAAAGGGTGCAGGTTCAATTCCTAGTCAGGGCACATACCTAGGTTGCAGGTTCTATCCCTGGTCAGGGCATGTACTGGAGGCAACTGATCAATGTTTCTCTCTCACATCAATGTTCCTCTCTCTCCCCCACCCCTTCCTCTCTCTCTAAAAAAAAAATCAAAAAATCGATGAAAATATATCCTTGGGTGAAGATTTAAAATAAAATAAAAAATTCTGGGAGAAAACCCTGTTCTGAGTAAAAGTTGATAAACATACTTCCTACCATATACACAAACAAGGTTTTTCTTTCTAAAAGTGGCACCAACTCTTTGCCTCTGGTCCCAGGTATTCTCTGGGTCTATTTTTAAGTACGCCTTCAATGGAATGCTGATGACAAATGACATTTTCACCAGCATATCTTTCTCTTTCTCCAGTCCAATGTCCTACATTTGAGAAACCAACCAATGCTTGGTACTAGCAGACTTCTGAATTTGGCCAATCTCTTATGTGTTAAATAAATGCTCTTTCACTAGTCATAACCTGCACTTCCCTGAGTACAAACAACACTGAACATCCTTTCACGTGTTCACGTGTCCTTTGTGAAATGCCTTCTGTCCGTTTTTCTATTGGATTATCTTTTTTGTTTTTTTTTTTATTTTTTTTATTTTTTTATCCTCACCCGAGGATATTTTTCCATTTTTTGTACAGATAGAGTGGGAGGGAGAGAGAGGAAGGGAGAGAGAGAGAGAATCATCGACGTGAAGGGACACATCGAGTGGCTGCCACCCACACGACCAACCAGGGCCGGGGACAAACTGCAACCGAGGTAAGCGCCCTTAGCGGGAACCGAACCCGGGTCTCTCTGGACCGCAGGCCGACGCTCTAACCGCTGAGCCAAACTGGCCAGGGCTGGATTATCTTTTTTGTAATGGTTTCCGAGTTCTCTGTATATACCAGATACTGTTCTTTTGTTAGTTATATATGTTACTAGTATTTTTTCCCAGTTTATTTCTTTTCATTTTTAATGGTATTTTTTTAAAAACTGGAATATTTTAATCTCAAGTCAGATCAATCTTTTGTTAAAATTACCCTAAAATATCTTGTTAAAAAGTTTTACCTAGATCATATAGATATTCTCCTATGTTTTCTTCAAAAACTTTGCCGTTTTGCCTTTCTATGTAAGTCTTAAACCCACTGGGAATTTCTCTGTATCCAATACAAGTTAAGAGATTTACTTTCTTCTTTTCCTCCACTTAGATAACCAATTATTTCACATCCAAACCTGACATGGATATCTCCCCTTGGTGATCTGCTATGCCACCTGAGTCAAATCTTTAAGTGCAAGTGTCTTTCTGACTATCTCTGTCTTGTTTCAAGAGTCTATTTTTCTGTTCCTGCACCAATATAACTGTCTTAATTACTACAGATTTTTGTATATGTTTTAATATCTGTTAAAGCAAGTCCCCCATGTTTTTTCTTCTTTTAGAGTGTCTTATCTATTCTTGGGCCTTTGATCATCCATATAAATTTTGGAATTGGTTTGTCAAGGTCCTCAAAATATTCTGACAGAATTTTAATTGAAATTGCAAGAATCTACAAAAAGATTTTGGAAAGATCTGGCAACTGTGTAATACCAAATGTTGGTATTATTTTGTAAATAAATAACAATTTGGTTTCTTTCTTATTCTTACATAATTTTATTTCTTTTTCTTATTATTCTGTGCTGGTTAGAACCTCAAGTATTATGATAAATAAAAGAGTTTTTTTTTTTTAAGAAAAGCTAACACCAAGAAAACATTTTAATTGAACTACAGAAACAATGGTTATAGTACATAATAAATAAAAGAGATTTTATAGGGAATGCTTCTAACATTTCACCATTAAAAGTGATGTTTCCTATTTTGTTAGATTCTTCTAAGCAAGTTTTAAAAGTTCTACTCTATTTCTATTTTTCTAAGAGTGTCTAACATGGATACTGAATTATGTCAAATGTTTTTCTGCTTCTTTTTGAGATAATCACATAGTTTTTCTCCTTTATTCCATAAATAGGATGAATGACACTAAGTTTTCTGATTGACTTCCAGGATAACTCCTCAGTCAAGACGTATTTCCTTTTATATATATCGATGGCTGGCTAATATTTTATATAAGATTTCTGCACTAAAAAAATTTTTTGCATCTATGTTCATAAATGAGACTGGCTTTAACTTGTACTTCTCATACCATTCTTGTGACGCACAATAAGGCGAAACAGAATAAAACCAGGTATGCCTCTACTGATGCTCTCTATTTTATCTTCATGTTTCATTTATTTGCTTTCTGCCCTTATCTTTATCTCCTTTCTTTAAATCTATTCTAGTGTTTTACTTATCTCAGTAATCTTCAATCATACTAATTTTCTTTTATAAGCATTTAGGCTATAAATTACTTTCTAAGTTCCAATTTTACTACATCGCACACTGTTTGATCTGTGACATTTTCATTATCATTCAAAATATTTTAAATTTCCATTATATTTTTGACCCAGCTATAGAGAAGTATAATTTTAAACTTCCAAATATATGCCCATCAAAATTTATTTTTTAACTAACATCGAAATTAAATGCACAAATGTCAGAACTTGTTTGTATCATACTGACTCTTTGAAATTCCAACTATTTATAACTTGTAGATAAAATACTAATTTCCCTAATATATAAAGAGCTCCTATTAATCAATAAAACCAAACTAATTTTTTTAATGGATAAAAGACAATAAAGAATCAATACACAATTCAAATGGCTCAAAACACAGGAAAGGATGCCCAATTTCACTGACAATAAAATATAGATCAAAAGGCACTTCTTTTTAGACCTATCAGATTGCGAAGATTACAAAATACCGACAACACCCTGCCTCGGCGAGGACATGAGGAAACGGGCCATTACACATTGCTGGTGGGAATGTAAACTGCTAACAGTTTTAGAGGCAACTCTGGGATCGCTATCAAAATTACCAATGCATATATGCTTTTATTCAGCCAGTTCATTTCTACGAATTTATTTTATAGTATTCACACAAGTGCAAAATAATCTATGTAAAAGGACGTTCATTGTAGAACTCCTTATAAGAGCAAAAGATTAGAAACAGCCACTAATAAGGTACTAATCAAATCATTCCAACTATACAATAGAATACTAATAAGCAGTCATTTTTATAAAGGAATGAAAACACTGTTTATGTACAATATGGAAGATATCCAAGATATAAGTGAAAAATTCAAAGTAAAGAATGCTACTACCATTTATGTAAAAAAACAACAAAAACTGATATTGTTACTAAATGCACACACACGTTGTGTGTGACATTTACAAAAACTGATAAAACTCATTAGTTCTAAAGAGAAATCTAGCTGGCTGGGAACAGTATATTTTACCATATACTTTATAAACTACATAGAATCTGTTGAAAAACAGATTTTTTTACATTTTTAATGAGCTTGATTAAGTAAAACTGCTTCTTCATGGAAATGCCTATCTGCAACTAGAAAGAGCCAGGGAACATGAAGACAGTTCTGTTACAATGATAGGGTCACTCCCTTCAGGTAAATGTCAACCACAACAAAAACCTATATAAGAAGAAAAATTTCCTACAATTAATTTTATGACCTAAAGACTACCTTTTTCGATTTCAAGTCTCCCAGTAGACTGCATAAATCCAATGCCATTATCTGCTACACACTGATACAGCCCTGAGTCTTCCATGGTAACACCACTGATTTTCAATGCATTTTCTGCAGTGAGATGTCGTGGGGAAGGATGAATAGGCTGAGCATTATGAAACCAGGTGCGGTTGGGGGATGGGTTCCCATGAACTTCACAAGTGAATTGTACGGTGGCACCCAGAGACACTGTCTGATCCTGCAGTCCTTTAGAAATTGAAGCATGTTCTGAAAACAAAACATAAATTATCACGAGTTATATAAAATCTTCCCTACCAATAACTAGTTAAAACCAAACTGTATCGTTTCTTCACATTCTCCCCATCTGGTGTGGTCAAGAAAAAAATTCAGAAATGTATTTCAACTTTCCTTTAATAGGATAAACCATATGTTACTAATATGTTATAATCTCTTTTATAGATCTCTCCACCCACTTAACTCCCTCAACACACACACACACACACACACACACACACACACACACACAAAGGGTTTCTAATTTGGGGCTTCTTTAGCATTAGTTTTAGGTGATTTGTTTGAAATAAAGTAATAGATTCCCTGAATTTCACACTAAACAAGATCCAAAAGAGAAAAACTCTTATTCAGAAGTTAAATTCTTTTTATGGCCAATTATGCTTTGAGGTTAGGTGTACACTGGGCAAAAAACTTCCTTTAATATCCATCAAGTGAGTTTTTACCTAAACAAAGTAAATCACTTACCGACATTTCTAGTATATGCCCAAATTAAATGATTATGCATATTACTCTAGTCCTAGTGATCAAACGTGAAAGCGCATTTGCCATACATACACATTCATTCCCGTGTAACCTACATCAGGCCATATTTGCAATTACACACGTGCAGATTTACAAAAACAATATTAACTATGAAACCATTTCCTACCTATTTTTTCCGGTTTTCATAAAAACCTGTTTGTTTGTTTGTTTCCTTTATTGATTTTAGAGAGAAAGGAAGGGAGAGGAAGAGAGAGATAGAAACATTGATGAGAGAGAACATCGACTGGCCGCCTTCTGCATGCCCCCTACTGGGGATCGGGCCCACAACCTGGGCATGTGCCCTGACCGGGAATCGAACCTGCGACTTCTTGGTGCATGAGTCGACCCTCAACCAGTGAGCCACACCAGCCGGGCCTGAAAATCTGTTTTGATAAAGGAAAATGTTTTCTGCTACTACATGGTAGTGAGATAGGGAGCTGAAAGAAAGGAATAGCTTTGAGATAAAGAGTAGATATAGACATGCAGGTGAAACTAACCCAAATTTTATAAGCCAGATATACTGAAAGCATTCCAAAGAGAAAATAAAAGAAAATAGATTTCTTTTTGAGATGCTATTTTCTAGTTACTATTACTGGACAGTACTAGACAACAGCCCAGAATCTTCCATCCTCCTGAATCCCAACCTCCTTCTTCCACGTCATTAGGAAAAGCAAGCTCTACGCTATGTAACCAGGTTGGGGTGAGGTTCCCAAGACCGTCCCAGGTGAAATGTTCTGCGACTCCCAGAAATACTGCCTAATTCAGGAGTCCATTGGGAAAATGAAGCTTGTCTTTCTACTGATATAGATATTTCTTTTATTTTCTTCAGATATAGTGGGAGGGAGAGAAGGAGGAAGAGAGAGAGAAACATCGATGTGACAGAGACACATTGAGTGGTTGCCACCCACACGACCCCAACCGGGACTGGGGACAAACTGCAACCGAGGTACATGCCCTTAGCAGGAATCGAACCCGGGTCTCTCTGGTCCATGGGCCGATGCTCTAACAGCTGAGCCAAACCAGCCAGGGCGATATTTCTTGATAGTCCTCATTTCATTTATAGTTTGCAAACAGATCTTTCATTCAAACATCAGTGAGATCAGAAAAATAGCCTGACTGGAAGAAAATGTACTAAGTAACATCTTACCGAGTACGCTAATCATGTAAGTCACATGCTTCACATCTCCAGACGTGCCTCCCACCATGCAGGAGTAGTTCCCAGCATCCACCGGGTCGATGCTATCTGTGGCAAGGTGAGAATACAACCTCCTCCAATTGCTCCCCGCCACAGCGTCCTGACCGTCCTTCAGCCAGTGCACTTGAGAAGTGGGGACCCCACTCACCACACACTCGAGGGTTATAGGGCTATGAGAAAGCACAGCTAATGCCTGGGAAAGAGTGGGGTGAAGAATGTGAAAACCATCGGAAGAAGTGCCTAGGGAAAGAGGAGAAACAAAACATTACCATCACGTCCACTCTCTTCCTTAGCAGATCTGTGGGCTTTCTATCTTCCCAGTTCTCCTTCTTTACACTACAAGGTCCTATCTGGTAGCAAAATCATTTTTAGTAGAGAATTAAAATTAAGAGTTTGTGATCCTTCAGGGCTACTTCCGAATGAGCAGTTTAGAAATGTAGAATTCTCAGCAAGGACAGCTGGCATCACTACTTCACTAAGCTGTGGCTATTGGTGCTACCTCAACTGATCTACCATATTCTAAAAATCAGGTATGAAAGAGAACAAATAACTATTTTTTCATAACCCACAGTTAGCCACACACTCGATCACCACTAATATCAAGTTATATTTTCTTGAAAATTTATTTTTATTTGAACAAAGGGCATAGTTCTCCAAATGGATTATACTCTGCCATCTTGAACAAAATTCCCCTCTAATGAATCATTACAGTTTAAGACATGTACAGTACTATTCTATAATACCCTTATGTATTTAATTGTTATAAGACTTCCTTAGGATAAGCAAACATGATCTAAAAGAAAAATGAACTCTCATTTCCCAACTTTTTATGAGAAATGCTTCCAGGGACTCTTCCTAGTTACCGTATTCTCCCAAATACTTACGACTCACAAGGAGCTTTTGGCCAATGGGCTCGACTTTTAATTCATGTGTGACAGGGTTAAAAGCTGCACACTTATATGATCCCTTGTCCTCTAAGGATACATTCAAAATCTGAAGATTCCCCGATGGCAGGATTAAGTAATTCTCTAAGGAGGGAAAGGAATGCAGTTAGGCCTCGGTCTGTACAAAGGACACCAATTAAAACTAATCAATTTTGATAGTTATGCTTTAAATTTAGACATCAGACCAGCAGCAAGTAAGCAATTGAGGAAAATTCTTTCAATGAAGGAAAGAGAAAGTCAAGGCAAAAAAGAAAACGTCAGGAGCAGTCCACGAGTAACACCGTCAAGCCCACTGAAACATGACAGAGCTCACTGGTGAGAACACCGGCAGAAGCATAGCTAGACAACGTACAGTGACCAGATACAGCTACACCTTGGGTACCCACAGTGCTGATCACCCCATATTCAGTCATGTCTATGCATACATTTTTTTCTCAACCAACATGTACTGAGGGCCTGTTTTCTGCCAACAATGTCTCAGGCACAAGTAATAAAGCAATGAAGAAAGGGTAAATAACTAACCAGCAGACAAAAATACACACTGAGCTATGGGAAAACACAATGCTATCGGGGAAAAACGAAGCTGAATAGGGAGGATAGAGAGCAGCAGGGAACATTACTTTAGAAAGGGCCCTGAGAGCCCTGGCCGGCTTGCTCCGTGGTTAGAGCGTCAGCCTGCGGTCCAGAGAGACCCAGGTTCGGTTCCCGCTAAGGGCACGTACCTCGGTTGCAGTTTGTCCCCGTCCCTGGTTGGTCGTGCAGGTGGCAGCCACTCGATGTGTCCCTTTCACGTCGATGTCTCTCTCTCTCTCTCTCTCTCTCTCTCTCTCTTTCTTCCTCTCTCTCCCTCCCACTCTATCTGAACAAAAAATGGAAAAATGTCCTCGGGTGAGGATAAAAATAAATAAATGAATAAAAGAAAGGGCCCTGAGGGTGGTCTTCTCAGAGGAAGGTCTGAGTAGAGACCTGGATGAGTTGAGAAGGTGAGCACTGGGAATGTAGATTGTAATAATTTCCATAGTGTAACCATTTCTTCTATTCCCCTCCCCTTGACTTCTGAGAGTGGAGAATCTTGTGCACTTTTGTACCCACAATCCCCAGCACAGAGCCTAATGGCAGGCTCTTCGTGAGCATTCGCCCTGTGGGAGCGGCGGGCTGGCCGTGCTCTCACCTGTAGAATGCCGCAGCCATTTCCCCCGGACTTTATAGCGCACCTCCGCTTTGGGGTTGCTGTCTGGCACCTTGCAGCCAATGAAACCAGTACTTTTTTCTTCTGCTGTAATAACATGCTTTGTGGATGAGTCAAAATCACCAAGAACTAAAATAAACAAACAGAATAATGAATAAACGGAAATGTGAACTCTCTTTCCCCAAGGAAATTTAAACCTACAAACAGCATCTGTACCTGTGTGTAGCGGCTAATCCCAGTCCACAGGCTAGCGGGATCTTTCTGTCTCAAGGGGGGTGGGGTGGAGGGGCACGGTTGAGTGCTGAGGCTGAGCCCTGGCACCCTTTCCCAGAAGACCATGAGAAAAGCAAACTGCTCTTACAACATCAGTGAGAAGTAGAGAGCACAACTGTTCCCGTTCTGTCAAGACAGATCCTTTTCAGTCCAGTCCCTCAGCAAACTGACCTTCCTATGCACCAGCATTCTGTGTAGCCACTCACACTCAAAGGGAATGATTCAGGAGAGTGAACCTAGCACACCGGAAGCCGAAGCTGCACAGGGCCACCTGAACGAGCTGCCCGGGCTCGGCCCTCGGGGGAGCGGACTGCAGAGGCCGCCTGTGGAAGGGCTGAGAGCACTCTGCAGCCCACACGGAATCCAGTTGTGCCCCGGAGCTGCCCAAGGGTCACAGCTCTACGCAAACATTTACTCTTCTCAGCTAGGACAAGCTCACGCTCCTGGGGAGTCCGATGGGTTCTGTAACAGGGGGGCCCTGACAAAGGGTTTCCACTCCTGGGAGCCATCGCCGACCGAAAGGCAGGTGGTCGGACTGACCGAGGAAACCACGAGTCCCACATTGCCCTAAGTTCAATGCTTGGCTTTCCTTTCTTTACAGTTAGTTCACATTGGCCTGTTTCTTTAGCCTGGTTTCAATTAAATGAATTAAAATCATGCCGTAATGAGGCAACTAAAACAATCAGATGTGAAACAAAGATAAAGAACTGCATAAAATAACTGAGTGTCAAAGTAGAAAATAGCTTTTTTGTTGTTGCTCATAGTAAGAACTTTAAACACAGAGAAATTCAGAATTCGCTGTAGAAAACCACCCTACCTGTGTCAAATATCACGGCCATGCCCTTGTTACGGCTGAAGACGACTCGGCTAGGCTCACGGAGGTTCAAGTACATTTCCCCAAGTTAAACACACAGCACCAGCCGAGGCTGGGATGAGAACTCCTGCGTGTCTTCCTCCAACACCCACGCTCTTCCCACTCTCCCAAAATGCAAGTACTAACAGTAATTTCAGGAAAACCCATATAGAACAGGGAGAAGATTAAACTCACCTGCAATGGATACTGTTGCAGGACCACTCACAACTGCGCCGACGCTATTGTTGGCAACACACTGGTAGTGACCCAAAAGGGAGGGGTTGAGAGAAAGAAGGGTCAAGGTCCCCTGATGAATGTTAATCTGCTCCACGTTTCGATCCAGTCTTTTTCCATTGTGCAGCCATGTGATGCGAGCGGTCACGGGCTTCGCAGAACAATGTAGAGCTACAGGTCCACCAAGTTTCTGGACAGCAGACAGCGGCTCAGAAACAAAATAAGGTGCCACGTCTACAGGGAACATTCCCCGTGTGCAAAGGAAGGGCAGAATAAGAAAGAAAGTACATCAAATGCATTTCATCTCGACCTATGTAACCACAGGCAATCCCTACTCTATCTACACATGTTATGGTTCTTAATACTCGCAAAAGTTCTAGGAAGTCTTAAAAGCCCGGTTTTGGAAGAAATAAAAGCAACATGTTAACCTACAACTTAACAATTAGGGTACAATAGATAAGAATCCTTATGAGAAACAGCAAATTGCTCATTTAAGGAAGGAGCTTTTAAAAAATGAAAGTTAATTATCTGAAAAAAATGAAGATGAGTTTCAAACAAAAAAGAATTCCCTCCCATATTACCAACAGGATTTGACTCTTAGGAGCAAGTTATTTTATAAATAAGGCGATGGTACTTCCTTACCACTTGCCTTTAATATAAAATAATGTTCAACTTTTAAGAAAGCAGAAGTACAAAGTTAGGAAGCCACATGGAACTACACAGTCTATCCTTTTTTTGGATAGAGGGCTCAGTGGAGTAACCTTACTATTTTTATTTGGTGTTTGGAATGGTCTCATTTGTTGTGTCTACTCCCCAGGCCTCGGAGTGGGGGCAGGTCCATGCGCTCGGTGTGGACACAGAGCTCTCCTCCACCCAGAAAAGAGGGCAGAGGGCAGGGGTGCTCTTACTCTGGCAGAATAAAACACTTGTCTTTTGTTTTCTTTTAATCAATACATGATCGATTCTACTTTTACAGGATGTTTTATCAGAAATGAAGATTAAGGAAAGTGCCTCTTGATGAAATCTGAGGTTGTCCTTTAGCCACACAAAAAAAGTGATAAATCACTTAATCAGATTTCCCTTACTAAATCTAATATAGTTGTACAGTATAATAAACAGAGGAAAATAAATATTCCTTAATGAGTAAACATCAATGTTTAACATAATACATCTTTACACAAACCTAAAATAAAAAGGAATGCCTGTGGGCCATTGTGGGCCCAGGCTTACCAACACATTTAACAGTAAATACATTTAAGCTTTTCAGTAACCTACAGAGTTAGGTAATAAATTAGACAAGGTCACGAGAGACCTAAGATTCAAACCAAATTCTCTCACTACAAGTTGAACAGTATTACATGCTGATTCTAAAATTTTTCTTTGGTTGTATGTAGTCAGCATTTTATTCCTGTTATAATTTCCAAATTCAGAAATTTAAAACTTATCTTCTTACTGAAAAAGGGACAATTGAAAATATTTATTTTTAAGGCAACAAAAGGAATAAATTACCAGCACAATGATGGGAAGGCCTGTTAATGCCCAAGAATCACTACTAAGAGATTCTTAAATTGCTAAATTAATCAAAGTTTTTAAATCGTTCAGCTGGTCAAACAAACTTTACAAAGGTCTTTGGAATCCATTAATTACCACCAGCAAAATACTGAAGTCGAGGTGGTTTTTTTTAAGATTAAGAACAGGAGGAGCTTCAGCTAAAACAATGCCATTCTTCTACTCTTACCTGAACGCGCAGAAGAGCACAGAATCAAAGGAATAACATACAGCAGTGTCTGTAAGGGTCCAGGGTCTGGATGCATAGCGTCAGTTTACAGATGAGGGCAGGACAGATCTCCAGAGCAGAATCCAGGCCTTGGCTCACTGCAAGATATTCAAAGAAAAGAAAGCCTAAACCACAAAAACTGTTGACCTCGTTAATCCAAACAGTCGATAGAGCTGTGAGCACGATCCATATCTTCCTAATTCACAAACCAATCTCTAGACACTAAATTACAGTTAGTTTTGCTCATTCTTCCAAGGTACTAGGATACCTCTTATTACACAGAATCCATCATTCCAAATGAACCCATTCACAGCCTGTTGTGCATTTGTTATATGCCTCACAAGCATCTACAACTCGACACAATCAAAATGCATTCCTCCTCTGCCGCCCTTGAAACAGAAATCACAAAAACAAAATGCCAGCTAACACAGCTACAGAGCTTAGTATGTGCCAGGCACCATTTCGGTGCTTTTACTACATTAACTTCATCTTCACAACAACCCTGTGAGGTAGGAACTACTGGTTTTCTTCCCCTTTTTCCGATGGCGGCTCAGGCTCACGGCTTGTGCAAACAGAACACCCAGTGCAGGCACATGTTGGGATGCAGCTTAGTCAGCATGTCTTGCAGAACATCCGAAGGCCACTGAGGTGAGCGCGGATGAGCCGGGAGGGCACCGAGCAAAGCGGGTCCAGGTCCCGTCCATGTGAGCCTTTGGAAGCCATGGTAAAGATGTTGCAGTTGGGCGGGAAAGGGGAAATGGATTAAGAAGTACAAATTGTTAGTTATAAAAACAGTCACAAGAATGTGATGTACAGCATAAGGAATATAGTAAAAAATATTGTAATAACTACGTATGCTGTCTGATGGGTAACAGACTTAATAGGGTGATCACTTTGTAAGGAATATAAGTGTCTAATCACTATGTTGTACACCTAAAACTAATATAATATTGTATGTCAACTCTAATTGAAAAATAAATTGTAAAAAAGATTGTGGAATTTGTTCCCAGTGTGACGGCAAGCCCTTAGAGTACTTCAGAGAGCTGGCTGGCCGGGCCCAGACTGAAGTGGGGCAGGGATGGAAGAGGAGGCCAGGTAGGTAAAGTAATCACTCCGGAGAGATAAGACCGCGGTGGGTGGAACAGTGAGACGTGGTGGGTGGAACAGTGAGTCAACTTCGGAAGTGGTGAAAAGTAACTGGATTCAGAACGTCGTCTAAAGATAGAACCAACAAACTTTGCTGAAGGCTTGAATACAGAGTGTGGGCTTAAGGGATGTGCCAAGGATAACTTAGTTCTGATTTAGCAGAACAAGGAATAGCTGTTTACTGAAATGGGGAAGACTGGAGAGAGGGAGACGAGAGAGAGGGGGTTAGTTGACAGTGCTGGTGGAGCCAAGTCTGAGATCTATCAGGAGTCCCAGCACTACTGTCCGTCGACAGTTCCACGCAGGAGCCTGGAGCGGTGGCTGAGGCAGAGCCGGAAATGCAGATGGTGGCACTGTGTAAGCGCTCTCTTGGGAAAAGGGGAGGAGGGTGACCAGGTGGGAGCCTTGGGACATTCCAATCTTGAGATTGAATAGGGGAGAAGAAAGGAGCAATGGAGACTGAGAAGGAGCCATCAATGAAACTGGAAGAAATCTAGGAGAACGTTGTATCTAGGGAGGGAAATGGGGAAGAAAGTTTCTAGAGGGGTCGCTAGCTCTCTCAAACACCGCTGAGAAGTAGAGGAAGACGGGACACATCGGAAAGGTATAACAGATCACCGGCGACACTGGCAGTGGTCTCAGTAGAGAAGGGACGAAGACTGACGGGGGGGTTCACAACAGGATGGGGAGGGAGGAAACGGGAACTCAGGCACAGAGGACTCCTCAGAGTTCTGCTATAAAGGGGCAGCAGAAAAACGGGGAGAACTGCTGGAGATGAATGGCAGGCAAGGGAAGGTCTGCTTGTGTGGGGTTTTCTGCTATGCAGGTAGTATAGCTAGTTAGCAGAGCTGAAAATGCTTATTTCTCCACGTGCTCCAAAATCTACAAGTAGCAAATTCAACTTTACCCCGATCATGGACTATCAGTTCATGGGTTGCCTTTTCAATATTTTTCTTGCTAACCTCTTTTTAAAAATGGAAGAGGATATTTTGGTACCACTCGTGGAAAGAAGGGGCCATCTGTGTGAAAACCTTGTTTGGTTTATTTGAACTCTCACTTGGTTCAAGGGTAAGAACTGACACACCACTGCTAAGCAGTCAAGGCAAAGTAAACATTCCAATAACTTGTTAACAGGAGCCACTTTCCTGAGAGAATGAGGGCAAGGAGAAGTGTTTCTTCCTTTTGCCAAATCTTTCCTCAACTATTTATTTATTGAAAAGCAATGAAAAAAATTCTTGAGTCAACTTTAACCCAAGCACATGATCTACTGAGTTACTTTACAGCTGTCCTTTAAAATTCCACAGCTCATTGTTGCTACCTAAATAATAGCACGCAGGAATATCCTTTATTAATTCTATCTTTCTATTAAGTTACTCATAACATGCTGTTTTTATTTGTTTTTATTTTTCAATTACAGATGATGTATATTATATTAATTTCAGGTATACAACATAGTAATTAATTAGACATTATATAACTAAGTGGTCACCCTGATAAATCTAGTACCCATCTGACACCATACATAGTTATTAGAATATTATTGACTATTCCCTATGCTGTACTTTATATCCCCATGACTATTCTATACTAATAGTACTTCTTAATCCCTTCACCTTTTTCACTCACCACCTCCCCAACTCCCTGTCATCTGGAAACTGTCAAAAAGTTCTCCATATCTATGAGTCTGTTTCTGTTGGGCTTATTGGTTTATTTTGTTCTTTAGATTCTACATATAAGTAAAATCACCTGACATTTGTCTTTCTCTTATTTCACTCAGCATAATATCCTCTATGTCCATCCATATTGTTGCAGATGCAAGATTTCATTCTTTTTTATGGCTGAGTAATATTCCGTTGTATATGTGCAATTCTTTATCTATTCATCTCTTGATGGACACTTAGGTTGCTTCTATATCTTGGCTACTGTAAATAATACTGCAACAGATATATGGTACATGTCTTTTCAAGTTAGTGTTTTGGTTTTCTTCAGATTAATACCCAGAAGTGAAATTACTGGGTATTTCTTCATCTCTTGTTATAGCCTTTGTTTTAAAGTCTATTTTGTCTTGTATAAGTATTGCTACCCCAGTTTTTTTTTTTTTCCATTTTCATAAAATATCTTTTTCCATCTCTTTACTTACAGTCTCTATGTGTCTTTCAATCTGAAGTCTTTTGTAGAAAGCATAGGTAAGGGTCTTATTTTGTTATCCATTCAGCCACCATATGTCTTTTGATAGGACCATTTAATCTACTTGCATTTAAAGTAATTGTTGACAGATATGTATTTATTATTTTATCATTCATATTTTTTATCATTTTCTTCTTAAAAAGGATCCTTTAACATTCTTGTAATATTGGTTTTGTGGTGATGAACTCCTTTAGCTTTTTCTTGTCTAAGAAGCTTTTTATCTGACCTTGAATTCTAAATTACATCTTTGCTGGGTAGAATAATCTCAGTTGTAGGTCCCTGCTTTTCATCGCTTTGAACATTTCATGCCAATCCCATCTGACCTGCAAAGTTTCTGTTGAGAAATCAGCTAAGAGTGTTCTGGGAGCTCCACTGTAGGTAACTAACTGCTTTTCAAATTCTGTCTTTGTCTTTAACATTTTGCATTTTAATTATGATGTGTCTCGATGTGTGGACTTCTTTGGGTTCCTTTTGTTTGGGACTCTCTGTGCTTCCTGGACTTGTATGTCTATTTCCTTCACCAAGATAGGAAATTTTCTGTCATTATTTTTTCAAATAGGTTTTTGATTCCATGCTCTCCTTCCAGCACTCCCATGATGTGAATGTCGCTATGCTTAAAAGTTGTCCCAGAGGGTCTTTAAACTATCTTCACTTTTTGGATTCCTTTTTCTTTTTGCTGTTATTGGGTGTTTTCTGCTTCCTTGCCTTCCAATTTGCTGATCTGATCCTCTGCTTCATCTACTCTACTGTTAATTCCCTGTAATGGAGTCTTCATTTCAGTATTGCATTCTTCATTTCTGATAGGTTCTCTTTTATGTTTTATAACTCCATTTTCATGTTTTTGATCTTTGTTAAAGTTCTCACTGAGATCACTGAGAATCCTTATAACCAGTGTTTTGAACTCTGCATTTGGTAGATTGCTTTTCTCCATTTTGTTTAGTTATTTTCCTGGTGTTTTGTTCTGTTCATTCATTTGGGACATTTGTCTCCTCATTTTGGCTGCCTCCATATGTTTGATTCTATATATTAGGCAGAGCTGTTACATCTCCTGGTCTTATGGAATGCCTTATGTAGTAGGTATCCTGGAGAGCCCAGTGGTGCAGCCTCCCTGGTAACCCAATCTGTGTATTTCAAGTGCACCCCCAATTTGAACTGTGTACACCTTCCTACTGTAGTTGAGTCTTGATTGCTGTTGGCATGTTAACATTTTTAACTGCCACACGTGGGTTTGGGACCAGTCCATTCTGTATCTCTGCCCCTCCTACCAGTCTCAATGTGGCCTCTTCTTTATATCCTTTGTTATAGGACTTCTGTTCAGCTAGATTTCAGGTAGTTTTCAATGATGGTTGTTGTGTAATTTTGATGTGGTTATAGGCGTGCTGAGTACTGTGTTTACCTAGCCTCCATCTTGACAGGAACTCCAACACGCTTTGTGTTGATTGTGGAAGTTGGAAAGAGCTTATGACCATAACAGTCATTTACTAAATATTTGTTGGCTTGGTTTATGTTTATCCATGGCAAGCTTACTCAGTCTGTTAGATAATTATGATCATGAGAGCAAGGCCCTGGATTCTATTGCTTTATGGGTCAGGTAGCCTGAAATTATATTCAACAGCTACCAACAGCAACCTAGGTCCAACCTCCTAAATAAACACCACTGACTACAAGGAGGGTTAGATGATGTATAAATCAGGGTATGTCCATTAGCACTTCTGGAAAATTGCCCAATGCTGTCATTTTAAAAAGTACTCTTTGTCAAAAAAGG